GGCGTGGGGCGTCACCTGAGGGGCTGTGGGGCATGGGGTATCACCTGAGGAGGTGCTGGCTGTGGGGTGCCACCTGAGGAGCTGTGGGGCGTGGGGCGCCACCTGAGGAGCTGCGGGGTATGGTGTGGGGGTGCCACCTGAGGAGCTGGCTGTGGGGCACCACCTGAGGTATTGCGGGGGCATGGGGTTAGGGTTATGAGGAGGTGCTGGCTGTGGGGTGCCACCTGAGGAACTGCGGGGCGTGGGGCGTCACCTGAGGGGCTGTGGGGCGTCACCTGAGGGGCTGCGGGGTGCCACCTGAAGAGCTGTGGAGCGTTGGGCATCTCCTGAGGAGCTGCAGGGCGTGGGGGTCACCTGAGGAGCTGCGGGGCATGGGGTATCACCTGAGGAGGTGCTGGCTGTGGGGTGCCACCTGAGGAGCTGTGGGGCATGGGGCGTCACCTGAGGAGCTGCAGGGCGTGGGGCATCACTGAGGAGGTGCTGGCTGTGGGGTGCCACCTGAGGGAGGTGCTGGCTGTGGGGTGCCACCTGAGGAACTGCGGGGCGTGGGGCGTCACCTGAGGGGCTGCGGGGTGCCACCTGAAGAGCTGTGGAGCGTTGGGCATCTCCTGAGGAGCTGCAGGGCGTCGGGTGTCACCTGAGGTGCTGTGGGGTGTCGGCTGGGCAGCAGCTGCTCTGCACCCAGCATGTGAGGAGCCTGTGAGGGCCGCTCTGACCAGGAGCTGATTTCGGCTCCAGGGTGCACATGAAGTCTGAGGTCGGCCCACCCTGGGGACCCCCATGGGTGTCGAGGCCCCATCCATGCCTCAGGAGAAGGGGTTGCATGGGCGTGGTTGCTGACTTCTGTTGGGCTCCCCCTTGTGCGTGCTGGCTCCAGGGGGTCACTAAGGCCTCCGGGAGCCCCCGGGTCAGGCCTCTGGTGTTTTGCGGTAGCCCAGCCATCGCTGTTTCTCAGGTTCCTGCTGAGGAACTTGGGCCTCAGCTCTGTTTCCAGCTGGCGTTAGGTCACACTCCTGGAGCCTCAGGAAGAAGGCAGTCGGGGGAGGCAGTCTCTCCAGGCACCTGCTCTTAGCTCCCCTGCGTGCTGGCAGTGCGTCTGAGCCTGTGGCGGTCGGCTGTTCCCGCTGGGCGCATCTCCAGCAGCCCAGCCCTCCAGTCCTTGTCTGGTTGTGGCCTGCTCCACGGGAGGCCAGAGGGTGTCTGCCCTGTGCCTCCATTGTGTTTCCTCGGAAGGTTTAAGCATGGAGCGTTTCCACTTTTTCAGAAGTAAAACCTCTGGGTGGAGGGCCAGCGTTGTGGCCTGTGACTCCGGCAAGGCGTGCCCTCCATTGCCCGCCTTGGAAAGCAGCAGGTGGCTCTGGCATGTGGGCGCCCGCCCCCCCAGACACCAGGTGCCCTGCTTCCTGCCTGGTGTTGAAGGAAGCCAGGAAGATATGGCCTTCTCTCTAACCCTGTCTCTCCGTCTGTCACTCTGAAGAATAAATAATTCTTTTGAAGAAATCTGTTTTTGTAAGGGGGAAAGCCCCGTGTTTAGAGCTATTAGTGTTTTTTGCTTGTTTGTTCTAGTGTCAGCACCTCTCACCAGCTGTTACTCCAGGCACATCCCGTGTCTCAAGCACCTTAGACTCGTCCATATTGCACCCTGTCAAACAGCCTTGGGAATGACTTCGTGTGTCTGAGGGCCCATGCACAGTGTTACCTGTCAGTCACCAAAGCGGGGTCCTGGCACACAGGGTGTGTACACTCTGGGAGCCAGTGACAGGAGGGCAAGTGCTGGGCCTGCCTCCTGGGGAAGGACACGGCCCCCACAGCTCAAGTAAGCAGCTTAGAAACCTGCACCCTCAGCTCACCCTGAGCACTGTACCTCCCCAGCTGGGCCTGCTGACCCTGGACCTCCCTGGGACTGTGGCCCCGCTGATCCTGGCAGGTGTCTTCAGAGCCTCTGCCTCTCCCAGGATGCTGGGAGCCCGGAGAGCTGGGACCATCTTGCTGCATTGTGCTGCACTGTGCAGGCAGTGGGTGCCTGGCATCCCAACGGCTTGCTAAGGAGCACAGGGCACAGGGGTGGAGCTCCCTGTCGGGGCAGGCTTGGGGAAAGCCTTCCCTGTGGGGGAAGAGGTGGGGAACTGTGCACGGTTGGAAGGGCTGATTGCATCAGGCGGGGAGACCGCTGGAGCCACGACAGGCTGTGTGGTGGCTCTGCAGAAGCAAGTGCTTGCCGGACTGAATGTATCCTGGAAGGAGACCTGCCTGTGCTGCCCAGTGCCAGGCTGCGTGTTTGGTGTAATCCAGGTGTTTAAAGATTTACGTATGGGAGAGGAGGCATGATGGAGATCGCTCTTCCAGCTACGGGTCGCTCTCCTCATGGCTGCAGTGGTCAGAGCTGGCTCGGCTGAGCCCGGGCTCAGGAGCTCCACCCAGGTGCCCACGTGGTGCAGGGGCCTGTGTACTTCCACCATCTTCTGCTGCTCTCCCTGGCACAGTTGGGGGTGAATTGTTGGGGTCCCTTTGGGAGTTCGGGCCCCCGGCCTTGGGTCCCGATAAGGATGGGCTTTAACGCACAGAATGCCTTTCCGGCGGCCTTTTTTTTTTTTAAGATTTATTTTTATTATTTTTTTATTGGAAAGGTGGATATACAGAGGGGAGAGACAGAGAGGAAGATCTTCCGTCCGATGATTCACTCCCCAAGTGAGCGCAATGGCCGATGCTATACCGGTCTGAAGCCAGGAGCCTCTTCCGGATACTATGCCGATCCGAAGCCAGGAGCCTCTTCCGGGTCTCCCACGCGGGTGCAGGGTCCCAAAGCTTTGGGCCGTCCTCGACTGCTTTCCCGGGCCACAGGCAGGGAGCTGGAAGGGAAGCGGGGCTGCCGGGATAGAACCGGCGCCCATATGGGATCCCGGGCGTGCAAGGCGAGGACCTTAACCACTGCGCCACCACGCCGGGCCCGGGCAGCCTTTGTTTTGTTTGAACCTGACCAGCTGGCGCAGGGCCCCCTGAGTGTTGCGAGCACTACCAGAGCAGATGGAGCCGCCCTGTGCAGAGGCGTCCGGGCCCCTCCTGGACAGGGAACCCACACGCCTGGCTCTTCTGGAAGTGTCGGCTCAACCAGGGCTTGAGGACCGGCAAGAGGTGCAGGAGTCCTACAACAAAACCAGGCCAGGCTGTCCCCTCTACTTCTGAGCTGTGGTGATCTGACAGAGCGTCCCCATGCTGTGGGGCCGTCACGGAGCGTCCCCTGCACTCTGGGCAGAATGTCCCCATGCTGTGGGCCGTCACAGAGCATCCACTGTGCCGTGGGATGTTACAGAGTGTCCCCATGCTGTGGGCCGTCACGGAGTATCCCCTGTGGTCTGGACCGTCACAGAGCATCCCCTGTGCTGTGAGTAACCTGTGTCTCTCACATTTTCTCCTTCAAAAAGCAGACAGAGCTAGCTCCCATGCCCTGCTTTCCTCCCTTAGCGCCCAGCAGTGCCAGCTGGCTGGCCAGACCCCCGGCTGGAGCTAGGAGATGGCGGGGGAGGCAGGCCTCGGGCCCTGGCCGTGCCCGGCTGGGCGCATCAGCCAGAAGCTGGGACGGGAAGCACAGCTGTGAACGGGACTGTCGGATGCGCCTTCGCAATGGTGTTTTTACACGATACAACTTTTTTTTTTAAGGTTTATTTATGTTATTTGAAACTCTGTTATAGAGAAGGAGTAAAAGGAAGGAGCAGAGATCTGCTGGTTCACTCCCCAAATGGTTGCAACAGCTGGAGCTGGGCAGAAGCAAAAGTCAGGAGCCGGGTACTTTTTCTGGGTCTCCCATGCCAGTGCAGGGTCCCGAGGTTTAGGGCCATCCTCCACTGCTTTCCCAGGCCACAAACACAGTGCTGGATGAGGAATGGAGCAGCCGGGATTCAAACCAGCACCCATATGGGATGCCACCAGTTCGAGTCCCAGCTACTCCAGTTCTGATCCAGGCCCCCACTAACACAATTGGGAAAGGAAAGGCAGATGACCCAAGGGCTTGGACTCCTGCCAGTCACCTGGGAGAACTCTCACACTGGGGGACTCAAGTTTTCAAAATTCTACTTTTTCTGCTTGAGCTCTGGGGCCACACAGGTTAAGCTGCCACTTGCGTGAGGCGCCAGAGAGGACCAGCGAAGGGCTGCTCCACTCGGACATTGAGAGCGGCCGCCCTCTGTGTTTCACCTGCTGCCCGGGGAGAGACAGGCTCTTGTGAGAACTGTCCTGTTGCATCTGCATGCACGTGGCCAGGGAACATGACAGACCACAGCCTCTGCAAGCGGGGCGTGGGTTGCAGCCGTGTTGCAGGGTGCTTGGGTGCCTGGGGCTTTGGGATTTAAAGATAGTTTCATCTCAGCATGGCAAGGTTTTGAGATCCACATCATGCCGGTGTCTTGTAAGCTTCTGGAAGCCTCCTTGTCTAAGCGCAGTGCGAGGCTTCTGACATTCCCTGTGTGCACTGGCAAAGTCTGTTTCCCTGTGAGCCTCCCGACCGCGCACATGGAGACGTGGCATGCTCACCTTGTCGCACAGTTAGAACCCTGGGGGGAAGAAGGTACTGGCCGAAGGCAGGCAGAGCAGCTCCTACGGCACAGGCCGTGCCAGGCTTTCCCTGGACGTGTCTGGAAGCTGTGGCTGCTGTCCCTGCCACGGCCACGGCAGGCGTGAAGCCGCAGTAAGTGCTGTGTGTTCTATACAGAAAGCTTGGGGAGCGGGCCCCTGACCAGGGACCCAAGGCCGTGGCAGCACTGCTCCCCCTCGGTTCTAGAATTGTCTGTTCGTGAGATGGAGAGTCTAGCATTGGCTGTGCGTCGTCCGCCTGCAGAGTGTACCGGCTGTGAAGGCTGGTTTTCTACCCACAGTGCCAGCCCCGGTCCCGGGGCAGGCGGGGCAAGAGTGGGGAGGGCCGCCGGTCCAGCAGCCCCAGAGGAGAGCTGGCTGTGGTTGAACCAGAGTCCTGACTCGTCTTTTACATGTGTGTTTATATGTTACAGGAGAAAAGTGCGAGCTCCAGTGCAAGACTCAAGACGAGTAAAGAGGTCCCAGGCTTAGTCCACCAACCCCGAGCGAAGTAAGTGCCAGCGCCTGACCTCCGCCTTCCCCCTTGAGGCCAGCATGCCCGTCAGCCTCCTGGGTGGTCAACAGAGGCCCTGAGCTTCAGTGTCCGGGTCAGGTGGTTTGCCAGGTCGGGGCTTGGGTGGAGCCGTACACAGACCCTTGCTCTGTGTTGGAACTGATGCTACAGTGGAGGAAAAGGAGGGTATTGGGTCAGAGCCCGCGCTGCAGTGGGGAGGGGAGAAGGGGGAGGGTCAGAGCCCGCGCTGCAGTGGGGAGGGGAGAAGGGGGAGGGTCAGAGCCCACGCTGCAGTGGGGAGGGGAGAAGGGGGAGGGTCAGAGCCCACGCTGCAGTGGGGAGGGGAGAGGGGGGAGGGTCAGAGCCCGCGCTGCAGTGGGGAGGGGAGAAGGGGGAGGGTCAGAGCCCATGCTGCAGTGGGGAGGGGAGAAGGGGGAGGGTCAGAGCCCGTGCTGCAGTGGGGAGGGGAGAAGGGGGAGGGTCAGAGCCCGCGCTGCAGTGGGGAGGGGAGAAGGGGGAGGGTCAGAGCCCGCGCTGCAGTGGGGAGGGGAGAAGGGGGAGGGTCAGAGCGTGCTGCAGTGGGGAGGGGAGAAGGGGGAGGGTCAGAGCCCGCGCTGCAGTGGGGAGGGGAGAAGGGGGAGGGTCAGAGCCCGCGCTGCAGTGGGGAGGGGAGAAGGGGGAGGGTCAGAGCCCGCGCTGCAGTGGGGAGGGGAGAAGGGGGAGGGTCAGAGCCCATGCTGCAGTGGGGAGGGGAGAAGGGGGAGGGTCAGAGCCCGTGCTGCAGTGGGGAGGGGAGAAGGGGGAGGGTCAGAGCCCGCGCTGCAGTGGGGAGGGGAGAAGGGGGAGGGTCAGAGCCCATGCTGCAGTGGGGAGGGGAGAAGGGGGAGGGTCAGAGCCCGTGCTGCAGTGGGGAGGGGAGAAGGGGGAGGGTCAGAGCCCGTGCTGCAGTGGGGAGGGAGAAGGGGGAGGGTCAGAGCCCGCGCTGCAGTGGGGAGGGGAGAAGGGGGAGGGTCAGAGCCCGCGCTGCAGTGGGGAGGGGAGAAGGGGGAGGGTCAGAGCCCATGCTGCAGTGGGGAGGGGAGAAGGGGGAGGGTCAGAGCCCACGCTGCAGTGGGGAGGGGAGAAGGGGGAGGGTCAGAGCCCAAGCTGCAGTGGGGAGGGAGGGAAGGAGTCTGCCTCTTCCCCTGTAGGTAGGGGCAGACTAGAGACAGACAGGGTGCTCATCTTGGGGACCTTGCGCGCTCCTGCTGCCGCACAAAGGGAGGAGCTGCTGGTTCTGACTGGCTGCAGGTGATGCCACACTGGCAGTTCGTGGGGTTGTCAGGTCTTGGGTCCAGGTCCTCAGTAAGTAGAAGAGAAGGAGGCGGAGGGCCAGGCTCAAGACGTGGCCTGCTAGTGGACTGAGAACAAGCACGCCGTGTATGTGGCATGGCCATGTCGCATGTATGAAAAAGCACCCTTTGGTCCTGCGCGGTGGGGGAAGCTGCAAGCCCAAGTACAGCCAGGGTGGGGGCAGAATGGGAGTGCCTGCCTACTGGGGGACAGCTGGCATGGAGGCTTAGCATCTCCCAAGACTCTGAGCTGAGACACACAGCACACGTCTGTGAGAAGCGTGGCGTTGGGGCACCCCAAGGGTCAGAGGCCAGCCTTTTGCACGTGAGGGTGCTGGCGCAGGAAGCGCCTGCTGGGCTCTGACCTCTGCTTCTGTTGCAGCATGCACATCTCTGAGAGCCAACAGGAATTCTTCAGGATGCTGGATGAAAAAATCGAGAAGGTAAGACTTGGGAAAGGATCTGCTCGCTTGACTTAGCAAGGGATGGGAGAGCAGTGTTTCTGGGTGGAGTGGGTAGAGAGAGGACAGCTGCCAGACAGTCTCCCAAGAGAGCAGCAAAGACGTCAGGCGAGGGACAGGAGACCCAGAGCTGGACCCAGCATCTCGTCGCCAGCACACACTGTTCCTTGTGCCTTTCTCCGTGGCCTGGCTCCCCCTGATGCTGCCCAGGTAACGGCTGGAGGCTGGCAGACACAACCTGTGTGTCACAGAAAAACCTCCCAGTGCTTGGCCTGTGGGGCCGCCTTCCCTGACAGCAAGATTACGGGGGTCCAGTGGGGATTTGATCCCAGCACTGTGGGCCCAGCCAAGCCCCTGATTTGCTGCTCTGGCTAAATGCGGCTCTCTCCCGAGTCAGAGACCAGGCTGTCGGGGCGTGCGCTCTGTCCGGCTTGGATCTCAGCCAGGCACTGGGGTGAGGGACCGAGCAGGGGCTGGGGTGCCTGTGGGCCCCCCACTCGGCTCTGCAGGGGGGAGGCTTCCGAGGTGTGGGTGCCTGTGCACCCAAGCGTTCGCTGTTGATGAGCCTGCACACTGCCGGCCACAGCATGCGCAGCTGCCGCAGGCCGACCTGCCACACGCTGCCTGGCGCTGCCACACGCTGCCTGGCGCTGCCTGACCTTCCCGAGGCCGTCGTCCTGGAGCCTGTCTGCAGTTCCCCAGGTAGGGTCCCTGGGCAGGGCAGGGGACAACTCCTCACACACACACACACACACACACTCCTCTCACACACACACTCCGTACATGCCTTACACACACACACACTCCGTACATGCCTTACACACACACACACTCCGTACATGCCTTACACACACACACACACTCCTCTCACACACACACTCCGTACATGCCTTACACACACACACACACTCCTCTCACACACACACTCCGTACATGCCTTACACACACACACACACACTCCTCTCACACACACACTCCGTACATGCCTTACACACACACACACTCCTCTCACATACACACTCCGTACATGCCTTACACACACACACACTCCCTATTTTGGCAGCAGAATCGTCTAGGAGTTTGAAGTAAATTGTAAAAAGGTGAGGCCTGCATTTGAACTTGCTTTTATAAGCACCACTCCCAGGCCCGACAGGCCCTGACAAGGAGCTAATCTCTAGGCAGCGTTGTCTGTCCTTGAACCTTGCCCTGCCCTCCTGTGCCTCCAGCGGGCAGAGCCGCCTGCTCACTGTAGCACCAGCAGCATTTGCTGTCAGCCATTGACAAAGGAGCAGCTCCAGGCTGGTGTCAGCAGAGTTTCCACACCGAGCACGCACGCTCGCTCGTTCCAGCGAAGGGCATGGGCAAAGGTGGGAGTGGCCATCTCTGGAGGGTTGCCTGTCACGTCCTGAGTGTTCCCATTGTGCTGTCCTTCATGTCAGGACAGGCCTCCGGAAGTGGGCAGCCGGCTGCAGGAGGCTGCTGCGCTGTTGGCCCAAGAGCTGCGTCCTGGTCTCTGAGTGCAGCCGGAGCACCCCGCTCCCGCAGCTCAGCACCCTGCAGCCAGAGCACCCCGCTCCCGCAGCTCAGCACCCTGCAGCCGGAGCACCCCGCTCCCCCAGCTCAGCACCCTGCACACTGTTGCCTGTGGGACCTGGGACCTCACTGGAGGTGTCGGCATTCCCCAGTGTGAGGCTCTAAGAACACAATGCTTTACTGCAAGGCACACTGGTGATTTTTTTTTAAGATTTATTTATTTTTATTGGAAGGGCAGATTTATAGCGAAGGAGAGACAGAAAGAAAGATCTTCCACTGGTTCACTCCCCAAGTGCGTCAGCCGGAGTCAGACCATTCTGAAGCCTGGAGCCTCTTCTGGGTCTCCCACGCGGGTGCAGGTTCCCCAGGCTTTGGGCCGTCCTCGACTGCTTTCCCAGGGCACAGGCAGGGAGCTGGATGGGAAGTGGAGCTGCTGGGATCAGAACCGGCGCTCATATGGGATCCTGGCGCGTTCAAGGAGAGGACTTTAGCCGCCAGGCCACGCCACCACGGCCCCAGAGATTTATTTATTTTCATTGGAAAGCCAGATTTACAGAGAAAAGGAGACAGAGCGGAAGATCTTTGATCCGCTGGTTCACACCCCAGATGGCCACAGCGGCTGGGGCTGAGCCGGTGCGAAGCCAGCGCTTCTTTCAGGTCTCCCACTTAGGTGCTGGGGGTCATTCTCTCTCCCAGGCCGGCACATCAGCAGGAGTCTGATCCTACGTGGAGTGCTGGCCTGGGGAACAGCCCGGGTGCTGAGGCCACAGTGCTTCAGAGGCAGGGTCTCCAGCACAGGTTGGACCCAGGATGCCTGCGGCCTGTGCCAGGTGAGGGGCTGCCAGGCCAGGGCGAGGCACCCCATCAGTGAACACTGGCTTTGTGACCGCTGGCCAGTTGCTAAGGCCTCAGTCTCCCTGCTGTGAGAATGGGATGGCTGGTACCAACTTGTCCAGGGAGACGATTCCAGCCAGTTTTTGCGGCCTGCCTGCTCTATAGCAGCGGCCTTGTTCAGTGGACACAGTCTGAGCCTGCTCCTCGGGAGCCCGTCTGTCCAGGTCGGGCAGGAGACAGCACGTAGCGCTGGCCGGCTTGGGCCACAGTGCCGGTGTGACTCCAGCCGCCTGTGGGAGCTGGCCTGGGACGCCTGCAGAGCCGCCCAGCGACCATGCGTGGTCCTGAGGGCCCGGGAGGTGTGTACCTGTGGGTGTCTCTTGGAAACAGCGTTTTTTCCCCCAGCCTTTCCAAATCCTGGCCAGGGCCCTCCCCCAGGCACTCGGCTCAAGGTCAGAGCTGCCTGCTTGGTGTTGCCAGGATTGCCAGGGCTGTGGCGCCCTTCTGGATCCCCTCTGCAGCCTGGGACGCCTCATCTTGGCAGTGCAGGACCTCGTGCTGGCCTCACACACGGGGTGGGAGTGGGAGAGTCCCTCTGGGCGGTGTGCTGCTGGGGCGTCCCCTGGGGAGCTGTGCCTCCACCACCTGGAAACCCTCACCCAGGACCTGAGACTGTCCCCGTTCATGTGGTGCAAGCCTCGAGCCCCCGGTACATGCACCCCAGACAGGCCCAAGGGGGCAAGGTGTGGGCACAGTGGTGTGGTGGCCCATGAGCTCCAGCGGTACCCTGTGCCCCACAGCCTCGTGGGCACCATGCTCTCGCAGTCCAGAATGCCCACATGTGATCAGTGTGTTGTGGCCCACAGGCTCTCACTGCTTAGGCTTGACACGGAAGGTGGCAGAGATCTCCCAGGGAGGGAAGGACTCGGGGCTGTCCATGCGGTCCCCATGCCCTCCTCCTGCCCTCTGAGCAGGTGACGCGTGCTTGCTGCTTCTCGGTCAGCTCCTGACCATGGACACTGGCCAGTGGGGGAGGCTCACTGGGCACTCTTGGCATCATCAGCCACAGGGCTACCGCCATGCACCAAGTGTCCCTCTCAGGTCAGCGTGGCATGGAGTGTGCCAGCAGGCACTGGCAGGACGGGGACACATGGAACCTTGGGGAAGCGGCTCTGTGCCCTGATGAGCACTGGCCCAAAGGCACAACTGCCATTTGGGTACCTGAGTATAGGGCAGTTACTGCCATCTGCCCCCTGGGGTGCAGGGCGGGTACTGCCATCCACCCCCAGTGTGTAGGGTGGGTATTGCCATCTGCCTGGGTACAGGTACCTGACAAGCAGAGGCTGTAAGCAGCTGGCAGCCCGTGTGGCCGAGTGTACACAGGCGTACCTGGCAGACAGGGCCCCATTGTGCCCGCAGGTGGATAGAGTGCCTGCCCTCATATGCTGTGTTGTGTTCCACAGGTCTTAATGGTTTGTGAGGTTTTTTTTCCTTTTTTAAAAAAATCCATGTCCATCTCATCAAGACAGACCTGCCCGGCGGGAGGCCAGCCCTGCCCGTGCTGGCTGGGGGCACACCGCACCGCGCTCAGCTGGGCCCTGCAGTCACGAGCACCCCCAGCCGCGGCCAGGACACCCTCTCGAGTCACTCCTGGGTCATGTTTCTCTCTCCTGTGCCCACAGGGTCGCGACTACTGTTCGGAAGAGGAGGACGTCTCATAGCGCTGGTGCTGCCCGGCCCAGCAGCGACTGCTGTGTACATAGGTCCCACCCCAGTGCCATCCGAGCAGATGGCAGTCCTCTGGCCAGCGGCAGTCCAGCGAGACAGGCCCGCTCCATGTCGTCTGCCCCGTCTGGTCACCGTGTCTCCGCTCTACACTGAGAACCAAACTGTTAGCTGAGTGTCCTCATAGCTGATTGTCCCAGCTCGTCGCATCCCTCCGCTTCCCACGCACAGGCTGGCTCCAGGACGGCCCGTTTGCTGTCGGAGGAGGGCTCGGTGCACTCCCAGCTCACCTCTGCTGCTCGCTCGCTCGCTCTCCTGGCCCGTGTGCACGGGCGGCTGGAGCCTGCTCTCCCAGGTGGTGTTGCTCTTCAGCAGAGCGTGGCCGCTGTGGCAAGCCTGGAGTTCCTGCCGGTAGAGGTGGCACCTTCTCCAGGCGCTCCTGGAGGGCCTGGCCTTGGCACCCACGGCCGGTGGGCGCAGTCACTTCTTATCCTTTGCCCTCACTTTTTTTTCTAAGGAAATAAACATTTTACTGTTTTTATGTATCCTTGTCTTCTCCCATTCATGGAGCTCGGTGTTGTCCCCGCCCTGATCATTCACCCACCAGGTGGCAGGGCCTGGCGTGGGCAGAAGACGGGGGCACGCCCCACTTCCCTCCGTGAGCAGCGAGCCGTCGCAGTCAGCGTCGTCCCTGTCCGTCCCAGACACCACGCCAGCCTTGCCACTTCCCTTCCTCTTTCCGGCACTGCTGCCTCCAGCAGGCCGCCCCGACTGTCCTGGGAGCCATCACGGCTGGGCCCGGCCGTGGTGCGGAAGTTGACTGTACTCAGTAGAGTTTATTTTTCCATAAGAAGCTAATGATCTCAAAGTCAGAAGCCCTATTTTTAACAAATATTGTCACAAGTAAATAGCGATGAAAGAAGAAAACTTTTGTATTTTTTTTTTTCCACTGTGTGAAAGCTTTGCCGGGGGCTCTTGCTGCTGGGAGGGGCCGGCAGAGGGCTCATCCAGGCATGCGGGGCCCCTGCCAGCAGCTTACTGGTGCGGTCGGGGGAAGGGGCCCACAGGGTCTCGGCAAGCCGAGGGCTGCTGGGCCTCAGGCTCCCTTCAGGCCTGGGACAGCACCGGGAGCCAGGCGGGCCCGGGGCAGCTCCACCCTCGTGCCACTCTCAGCCCATGCCTGCTGGGGTCTTCCTCCCTGGGGCCCGGGGGCTCTGTTGAAAGGACGACACTGCCAGGACCTCTCGTGCTGACCAGCAGGAAGAAGCAAGCCCCGACATCTCCCACCGACTCCTCTGCAGGCTGTCGCACACGGTGGCAGCCCCAGGACCAGGAGCACATGTAGCGTTGTCCCACTGCCACGTCAGCGTGTTGGCGTATCAGGTGCACGCACCACCGTGCGATTCCCCAGGCACCGGACTCCGCGTGTTCTGCCTCGGCCGTGAGCTCGCGGCTCCTTGCCTCCCGCACTTGACGCCTGTGGCCTCCAGCAGCAGACTGGGAAGGGGGTGGTGGAGGGGTCGGCCAGGGGCCTGGCTCTGTCAGCCGCCCTCAAAACTGTGTTTTTCATATGTTGGTTTTAATCATAAAACTGTTAAGTGATCCGTGTTTGCACCTGGTTCTTTTCCCACCTTCTGGGAAGGGTCCAAGGACGCGGCATCTTGGGAGACACTGAGATGCTGTGGGCAGGAGCGTGGTGTCAACCCTGGCGCAGCTGCAGCCTGTGAGGCTCAGAGCTGCCAGGCTGGCAAGTGTGGGGTGCACGGGGGGCAGATGGCAGCGGTAAGGGGGGTGCTGAGGTCAAGGACAGCTGGGCACACACTCCTGGCCTCAAGCCACAGGGTCCAGTGGCATGTGTGTTTCCTTTGGCTTGGCCAAGCCTGAAGACCTGCCATCCTCACCAAGCCTGTGGTGGCCGCTGGCACACACGCTCCGGGCCACCGCGTGAGAGCTCAGAGATGGGAAAAGCGGTCGGCGGTGCTGGGTGGGGCCCGGCTTCCTCTGCTGCAGGGCCAGGCGCGGGGCACACACGGGCCCTGAGACTGCACTGAGTGGTGAGTGGGGCCTGATGCTGCTCACACACAGCAGCTGGGCCAGCGTCTGGCACAGCCCAGGACCCACAGCCTCACCCCACGGGACCACGACTGCTCAGTCTTGTTTTGTTCTCCGTGCCACTCCCTAGGGCTGACCGTCCTGCGAGCCAGCAGGTGCCACCTCAGGAACTTGCCCCCAGTACCTGTACTGCAGATTTGAGTGCCCCACCCATGTCCCACTGGGTACTGGGGCCTCAATCCCACAGCATCCTCTGCCAGTCTGCAAACAGAACCTTTGCTAAATGCGCAGGTTCCTTGGGAAGTAAAATCATGAAATGCCCAGTGCCAGAACACAATGAATTGGGATCCTGGCTCCCGGGATACAGTGCCCTGCCCAAGGGGACAGGAGTCAGAGATGGCCCTGCCGCAGGGAAAGAGGAGCAGGCATGCTGGCAAGGACATGCCGGCCCTGCGAGTACCCATTCAGCATCTTCAGAGAATGCTTCAGGGTCAGCCCATGGACAGCTTTTGCTTATTGTGTTAAACACAGGAAGAAAATTCCACCAAGACAGGCGACCGAAGCCACCATTGTAAGCAGGAGCAGCAAGCTGCACAAGTGACAGGAGATTCCAGCCCCAAGAACAACAGGAGGCAGTCACGCCCAGGAGAGAACACCCAGGAGAGACCCACCCAGCACAGAGCTCAGAGTTCACACCTCAGAGAGCTCACACCAAGAATACACCTCACAGAGCTCACACCTCACACCCAGCACAGACCTCACACTCACTTCAACTGTCATAGCGTTCTCCGTGAGTCAAGTCTAGCTGACCCAGAAGGGGCAATGCCTGCCTTTTCGCAGACCCTGCATGGCACGGAGGAGCTGCAGATGCTCTGGCAGGTTGCACGCATGGTGTCAGGTCCTCCTCCGATCCAGGAAGCTGGGACTGCGCTCTCTGGAGAACCACAGGGACTGAGCTGCCACAGGCCTTGCCCACAGGCCTTGCCCTGCAGTCTCTGCTGGCCAGGCCCTGGAACGGCCCTCTGACTGCGCGAAGACTCAGTCTTGTCCAATATCCCCCCACTCCTGATTCTAAGGGGATCAGGCGAACTGAAATAGACCCCTGCGCCCACAAAGGAGGCCTTGTCCATGGCTCTTGATTTTGTCCCAACACTGGGAAGTGTGGCCACCTGGGAAGCAAACAAGCAGATGGAAGATTCTGCCTCATACACAATCTTTCTCTGTTACTCTAATACATCAACCTGAATGAAAAGAAGTCCTGCATGTGGGCTGCGGGAGCCCAGCCTCCCCTCACGCCCTGCCGCCCATCGCCATGGCCTCACCTCCAGGCTGGCCCCCAGCACCCTGCCACCTCCCCCGAACCTGGCAGCGTCTCCACGAAGGCTCGGTCAGCTCTGTCATCTGGTCCTCTGTGCTGGGCCATTTGGAGCATTTCACTGTTGCCACGACAGCTGAACCCCACGGTCCTCCAGGAGACAGTGGCCATGCAAGTCCAGGCAACCCGTGTGGGCTGTCCCCATCAGTAACAGTCCTGAGGCCTGGAAACCCAGCGCTGACAGCTGCCCTGGCGGCAGTCAGAGCGACACTCCAGTCCTGGGGTCCCAGAGCCTGGCGGGGATGGAGACTGGCCTGGAAGCTCAGGCTCGTCCCAGAGGATCCCCCGTCCCAGAAGGACCTCCCTGGCTAAAGGCTGACGGCTGCTGAGCAGTCATGTCCCCGAGGTGGTTTTAAGCCTTTTGTCATATACACTCTGATTCTCTAAAATATTTGCGTTTAAGATTCAAGTGGTACTTTTGAGGACAATGCCTGATTAGTGCTATAACGAAGCATCCATTTTCCAATTAATCCCTCTAAAGTTCAAGAACCACATTAAAATCCCCTCTGTTCCTTTACAAGATGCATTTCTCGGGGCTGGCACTGTGGCAGAGTAGGCTGCCTCTGCCTACAGCGTTGGCATCCCATAGCGACACCAGTACATGTCCTGGGCGCTCTGCTTCCCACCCAGCTGCTTGCAACACCTGGGGAAGCAGTAGGGAACGGCCCACGAGTTGGGGTCCCTGACCGAGTGGGAGACCAGAAGAAACGCCTGGCTCCTGGTCAGGTCAACTATGGTCACTGAGCCCATTTGGGAAGTTGCCAGCAAATGGAAGCTCTCCATCTCTCTCCTCCTGTGACTTTGCCTTTCAAACAATGAAGACGCCTTCCTGTTCGCTGAGGTGCCTTAGAGGGTGCTTGGTAGAGGCAGACTCAGTCATGCTGTCTGCTCCCCGGTCAGCAGCAGGGTGTGGAGTCGGCTCAGGGACCCAGAACTCTTCCCAATGAAAGCTGCATCCTTACAGCCTCCTGCCCCAAGTCCAGGGGGTGCCGCCAGCAGCTCCCAGGACCACAGCACTGACCCTGCCAGACACTGAAGAATCTAGCTGCTGTTTAAAAGACCACACATGGGCACAATGGCTTAGTTGGCTCATCTTCTACCTGCAAGTACCAGCATCCCATATGGGCACCAGTCCATGTCCCGGCAGCTCCACTTCCCATCCAGCTCCCTGCTTGTGGCCTGGGAAAGCAGTCGAGGTCAGCCCAAAGCTTTGGGACCCTGCACCCACTTGGGAGACCTGGAGGAGGCTCTGGGCTCCTGGCTTCAGAGCTGCTCATCTCCAGCTGTTACTGTATTTGGGGAGTGAACCAGTAGATGGAAAATCTGTCTCATTCTCTCTATAAATCTGCCTTTCAAATAAAAATAAATAAATCTTTTTTTCAAAAGGTCAGACCACACACACCTGACGAGACAGCCCACCATGTAGGAAGTGAGGTTTTGGGGACAGGGTGGCGGCCTTGTCCTCTGGGTCACTGACCACCTCCTAGCCGCCCCTGGACAGCTCCTGGCCTCCCGTCCAGGGGAGTCCCCCAACACCTGGGATCTGACTTCCCTGGGGACACCTCCCAAGGCGGCTGCTGGCTGCTTCTCCCAGCTGCATCCTCACAGATTGGGCAGTCACAGCCCACAGGTCAACACCCTCACCTGGGGGTGTGGGCCCGTGGGCCATGTTCCTCCCCCACGGAGACCCCGGGCCACTCACGGCCTTTCCAAGGACACTCCTGGAAAGAAAGCCCACACTAGCCTTACACCTGACCCCAGTCACACGTTTTGATGACCCCATGCCTGTCCTCTCCCCGAGCAAGCGAGTGAGCCACAGGCAGCCATTCCTGGCCGCGCCAAGCAGCCTTCCCCTGCTGCTCCTGCCCTGAGCCTCACAGAGCGACAGCCAGGGAAGTGCCCGCCTCCAGGTCCTCCACCTCCCGGGACCCAGGATAAACATACCCCCAGTGCCAGCCACTGCTGCGGGCGCTCCATGACAAATGTCTCCAACCTTCAGAGCTGGGCCACTGGCTCCTGGGCACATCTCTGCAGGCAGGCCTCCTGTCTCCATGTCGCCTCATTCAGAGACCACCTCGGTGTGTGTGGGGCCGCCCAGCCTTGGCTGAACCTGGCGTGGCATCTATAAATCCTGTTTCCCCAGAAACTTGTCTGGCCACGTGGCACCCGGCTCACGGCTGCAGCCCCCAGAGGTGCCTGCTGCCCCTCACTTGATTCATAAATGCAAGCATGCGTCTTGAGGACAGCAGCCATGGGAGGTGTCGTCGCTGTGAACTGTCGTCGCCCACCTGCCCTGCCCAGGACCTCGAAGGGCTCCCGGCTACTGTCAGCGGGGGTCCTTGTCTGCTCCCCCCAGCAGGGAAGGCAGAGGTCAGCACTGCAGCCCACATGGCCTGCCACAGCCAGCAGGCGCTCTGCACAGGCCGCGAGCAGTGCCAGTCACCCTGCCCGCGTCACCTGGCTTTCCTACCAAGCTCCCTGCAGCCTGACGCCAACTCCACACTTGGCTTCTCTTCCCGCTCTCACAGACCACCTCGCACACACAGGAAGGCAGCTGCAAACCAAACGCCACTCTGACTCACCAGCAAACCTCTCCCGCCGAGGGCTGGGGATAGATCCAGAGCGTGGGAGCTGTCAGGGCCCCTCCCAGCGCCTCGCTGTGTTTGGTCATGGTGCAGAGCACACAGACCCTAAGCGACCACCTCTGCGCCACCTGAGAACATCCACCCTCCACTCCCCGAGCCTCGCAGTGTCACAAGCCAGGAACCCCACAGACACCTGTGACACTGTCACAGGGTCACCCGAACAAGGAGGCACATGCACGCCGGCTTGTCTTAGTGTCACACGCTTACACTACTGTCATCAATTGTTGACTGCGCACGGGTTATGAGGGGCGCAAACGGGACAATGCGAGTCCCTGGTGGCATCACCCCGCCAGCCCTGGGCAGCGAGCATGTCTGCTCTCCTGCAGGGACAGCACTGCTCCTCACTGCGGGGCTTCCAACAGCACCGCCCTCCAGTCCACTCCCCCTCGTGGTTCTGCCTCACGAACCACTCGCTGTCCCACGTGGTTTACCACCCATCTTCCATCTCCTCCTTTCTGTCCACGGTCCGACCCCCAGGCCCTGCCACAGCACCCGCAGGGAAGCTCCCGGTACAGATTCCTGGCAGTCAAGGGCAGCACCTGGATGTGAAGGGTTCACCATCACCATGTGCCTGAATGCACGCTGCTCCACTTACACACACCCACAGGGACACACATCCTCTGGTCCCCTCCCCAGATGGCTGCAACGGCCAGGGCTGGGCCAGGACCTTCTTCCAGGTCTCCCACATGTGTGCAGGGACCCAGAGACTTGGGCCATCTCCTCCTAGCTCTCCCAGGCCATCAGCAGCAAGTTGGATCTAAACTAGAGCAGCTGGGACACGAACCGTGCAGGACAGGGGGCCAGTGCTGTAGGTGGTGGCCCTGACATGTCACCTCTTGCCCAGGTCTCATCCTCTCCTTCCTCCTCACGCGACACTGACCTACACCCCCAAGTGTACTCTTGCACTCTGTGTTGGGGGGAACTTGTGACTGCACCTCAAGGAGCTCTGGGGCTTCCCACAGGCCATGACTGCTCCATTCAGACACTCCAGTGACCCGCTTCTGCAGTGGAAGTAACCAGCCAAGAGCTTACTTCCTCAGAAAGGAGAGGACGCCAGGCAGCATGTCCTGTGGGGGTGGCAGGAGACAGCCATGGGGCACCGGGAACCTTCCTGCGGCCCAGGAGCCAACTGGGTGCTCCCTGCAGGGGCCGAGAGACCCCCGGGACCTCGGGGCGATGGAGCCCAAGTAGCCCACACCTTCAGTCCTCAGTCCACAAGGTTCCAGTCCCAGCCTTCAGGAGCCAGGCAGCCTGGAGGAGCAGCCCAGGACACAGAGAGGTACGCTGGTGGCTGGCGGGCACGTGGGACAGGAGCATGGCCCATCCGAGTTAAGATCTGCAGTCATGGCCTCAAGCAAGGCCGCTGGGCAGCGAGGCTGGCAGTGCCTGGGCCCAGCAGCGCCTGGGGTGCAGGCCCACTCAGCAGTCTTCGTGTTTGATGCTTTGTACAGGGAGTTCACCAGAGTGGCCAATCATGGGTGAGGTGGGGAGTGAGACCTGTACAGGGTGATGGCTCCTGACACCTACAGGACCTAGATGCTGGGGCTCCCGTGGAAGCAGGCTGAGCTGCAGCACAAGCTTAGGGAAGCCAGAGCCCACTGTCACACACACGCCAGGCCTCCTACCAACACAAACCTGCAGTGCCAATGCCAGCACCACTGCCCACTAGCAGCCCTCCCTGGCACCCAGCTCTATCGCAGGTCAGGAGACCACCTGAAGAATCAGCCCATCAGTCAGCAAAAGGGGCTTGTGATATAGCAGCCACGCAGGCAGGGAGGCTAGGCCCCACTGCTCACCAACCCCAGGCAGGTGGACTGCCGCAGAAACCTGCCACGGTGCCCTACAGGGTCTGCGAACACCTGGAAGGGGTCCCCGTGGCCATGGCCACAGTCAGAGCAGAAAGAGGAGGTCAGGCAGGGAGGTGAGGCTGGGCAGCCGAGCAGGAATGAGTGAATCCCGAGCCAACTAGGGCTGTGTTCGTGCGGCTTCTGGCACAGTCCACGGACAGCCCCTTCTGTGCCCTGTCCCACAGCACACACACCAAGTGGGCACGGTAACCCTGAAACTTCAAATGAAGACCAGGCCAGAATATTTACATATTTTATTAAATCTTTACAATCAGTAATTATAATCAAATACACAATTATATACAAGGATTATGTACATTTTGCCCAGACTTTTACATCACAGTACATGGTTTCCCTTAGAAAGATTGAATACATTTGTCACCAATAAACTCCAACAGCGGTGTTACAGCACCTGTGAGTACAGACATCTTTTCCATAAATTACATCATAAGAAAATATACGGCTGTAAATCGGGCTTGTTTAAAAACGTCTTTTATAAAATCTGAACCTACAGCGTCTCGTTCACAAAATGTGTCTCTCTCTTCTGGCTTCAGCCTTGCTGGGTTCCTGGGGAAGCTCGCCCGCCCCCAGGGAGCCGCAGCACCCCAGCCCCCAGCCCGCATACCTTCCCCCCGCCAGGCTCCCCGAGCGTGGCCGGGCGTGGGACTCTGCCGCGATCAGGCTGTGTGATGGTCATTCAACTACAACTCCTGGGCGTCTCCACCTGAGAACCAAGCCCCAGGATCCACCTCTGCTCTCACTCCCCAAGCCTGGGAGAAGAGCGGAAAAGCCCGCCAGGCAGTCACTTGTTCTCAACCAGGTCCTCCAGAAGCCCATGGGCACGTGCCTCCCGGCCTACCCCGGGCACCTGCCCTGCCCCGCATCACCATGGGAAAGCAGTACTGCAGGCAGGGCAGGCCAGCTCAGGGGACTCTGTGCAAAAGAGAAACTACAGCTGTTTGATGTTTTTAGTAGGTAAACAAGTTAAGTTTCAAAACCTGAAAATACCTGAATTAGATTTTTGCTCTGGTATCTAACATTTACCTCCTGGATAATATCCTCACTTGATTCCAGTTGTAAAGATACAAATCTTTCTTAATCAAGCAATTTTATGGCTGTTGGTGATCACGTCAGCTCTATTTCTAAGCAGTCAACATGTAACTGAGGTAGACCAGATGTTTCTAACTTCAGGGTCTCACAGAATCCCCTGAATCTTTAGCAAGTAAATAAAATATCTATAAAAAGGTACTTGAAAACCAAGACATTAAGAACAAACCTAGCGCGGCGGGGATTTTTAGTGAACTCAACACCACTTGGCAATGGTCAGGGCTCCGCAGCTGGCCTCAGTACCACCAGGCGTCACAGTCGGCTCCACGCTCGCTTCAACAACTGAGCTTTCTCAACAAGAACATCCTGCACCCGAGCCTCGCCAGCCAGGCCGTGCCCGCATGGCCCAGGACAGCCCAGGGGCACGAGTCAGCCAGCAGCAGCTCTGCGCGAGGCGTGGGGGCACGCACGTGCCGTGGCCTCGGTCAGCAGCTGCTCTGTGCCCAGCCAGCCTGGAGCCGCTCCTGGGGACACTGTCCTTTTGCACCCTGCCCTGGCACGGCCCTGCCCGCCGACCCCAATGCCACGTGCACAAGCTCCCGGGAGCTAGTCCTTCTGCTTCAAGTCAAGACCACAGGCTCTGTGAAGATACCCTTTCCCTCCCGAAGACGTGTGACTCCCCGCCCAGCCAGGTCACTGGAGTTTCTGGAAGCAGACAACGAGCCCCTGAAACAAGCCTCGTCCACCCGGGCTCTAGGGTGGCTGCAGAGTGACCAGAGCCCTGAGCTCAGCACTGCTGTCCCCAACCCTCCCTCCAGGGAAAGGCTTCCCTGGGACATCCCGGTCAAGAGGAAGGAGACAAACTCGCCCCAATATTCCTTTAGAACTGATTCGTATCTATTTTTAAAAAATAAATAAAATTATTAAAGCCATGATTTTAACTATAGGGCTACCTACCTACAGATATCAACAGCAAAATTGTAAAAACTTCAACAAGGCCGGCACCAAACTACCACCACCAAAAAGGAAGGTGGAAACTGCTCCTTCGGCTCAATGGCTGTGTGCTCGCTCCCACAAACCACACACCATGATTCAGAGGAAATGTGACAGACTCCCCGGAGCGCATTTCCGAAACCAAGGGGACAGAAGCAGCAGTGGCCCTGGGAGCCCGGGGCACGCCCAGGCTGACCGGCCGAAGCTCTCAGGCTGCAGGCTGTCCCGGGCTGCAGTAAGGCTAGGGGCAGGAGGGAGACGGGCTGCAGAGCTACGCCCGCCCAGGGGACCACGCCCGCCTCGCAGCCCCCAGGCGGCCTCTCCCTGGCTGCATTTCAGCAGCAGCCAGCAGCGAGCTGAGCTGCGAGTGCTGCGGCGGATGGCACGTGCCCTGCCCGCTCCCACCCACTGCTCTCGCAGGAAACGGCACTGCCCAGGTCCACTGGCTTCCCTGGAGGCAAGACGAGCCAAGGATCTCCTGTCTCCTACCTGGTAGGTGGGAGTGTAGCCCCTGCCACCTGTTCAGGCCACTTGGCAAGATCTGAAAGCAGAGTGCCCAGGCACTCCCCGGGGCCACTGTCCCGCACGGCCACCGGTCCCACCGGGAGCCCTGTCCGCACTGGCCTGTGGGGTGGCCAGTGCAGTGCTGTTACGTGGGCTTCCATTCCAGGACAAGTCAAACAAGGTAATTCTAACCTGCCCGCTCCAGGTGCCCAGGGTGAGCAGCCATGCCCGCCGAGGCCTCTGGCCAGCTCGCAGCGCCCACAGAGAGCCTGCCGCATCTGAGGGTGTCTGCCAATCGCTTTACCTTTCCTGTCACATACCTACCGAGGCGCTGCGCAATCAGAGTTCATCCTTCCCCATCATCTCAAATGCTTCTATATCCTCACTCCAGTCGGCCAACATGGAGTCTATGGGCTGGGACTTGTCACCCCAGCTAGCCTGAGCAGTGGCTTCGTCCTCAGGCTCTGACTGTTCCTGCGGCTGGCTGGGGTCGCCTTCTGTGCACTCGCCATCAAGACTGTCCGGCTCCTGGGCCTCGGGGGCGTGGGCAGTCTGCCCGGACGGCATGTCGCCCGTGCCTGGGTCCGGCTCTGGGTCTGGCTCTGGGTCTGGCTCTGGGTCCGTAGGAGACAGTGGTTCTGGCGGGGAGGCACCAGGGCTTTCGCCAGCAGGGTCCAGATGAGCTTCGTCGAGCGTCTGTGGGACAGCTGCCACCTGCTCCACGCTCTGACTCTCGGCCTCCTGGTCGGGAGACGGCAGCTCCTCACTGTCCATTTCGCCATCTGCATGGGAGACAAACTGCCTCAGCCCACATGGCCCTCCGGCATGCCTCCACTTCCAACACCAGGCTGGGCTTGGCAGTGAAGCGGAGCGGGCCACCCTGGAACAGCAGTCACACTGTTCAGGACTTCATGTTGCCAAAGTGCCAGGATCATAAACAAATGTAGGGTCCCCATTGGAAAGAATGACTAACAGCTAATAAGGATGATTCCAATGAATGCCAGTCAATACCAAGAGATACTGCAGTATTTGAAAACAATGGCAACTAAATAAAAATACATAGATTTCATATTTTTTTTGCACCAAACATACTTGTATTTTCTTTCCATTTCCACTGCCTTTTGAAGCACCACTATATGCCACACAACGACAACCCACCTGCCATTTTGCAGTGTATGACGACAACTCAGTATCTAAAGCCAAGACATGCTGCACCGCCCTGGGACACACCGCCCCGCATTCACACGGCACAGCCAGCCTGCACGGGGCACCCACACGGGAGGCCAAGAAGCCGGAGGCTGCAAGATTCTGGGTGACCATGAGGATCAGCATGCCGGCCACATCACTTCACAGACAAGGACAGTCACGGGGCTCTGGATGACGGGGCAAATCACCCCCAAAAGCGCTGCGGCCCTCAAGACGCGTGTCCCCCAGGAACACAGACTGACGGCTGATGGGCTTCACTGTTAAGTCCCAAGGGACCCTCAAACAGGAGTAGCTCGCACACACCACCACATGGCTCTGCCTTTAGGGAGGAGTCAGCCGAGCAGAGTTCCCTCTTGGGCACCCTGCAAGCAGGGACAAAACCAGCAGCAAGAATGGACATCGCTCCTGCCCACAGCGCCTGGGCAGCCCACTCAGAGCCCGCAACCACCACACGTGCCTGCCACACTGAGCCCCACTCAGAGCCTGCAACCACCACACATGCCTGCCACACGCCTGTGCAGCCCAGAGCCCGCAACCACCACACGCACCTGCCCACAGCGCCTGGGCCCCACTCAGAGCCCACAACCACCACACGCTCCTGCCCACAGTGCCTGGGCAGCCCACTCAGAGCCCGCAACCACCACACGTACCTGCCACACTGGGCCCCACTCAGAGCCCGCAACCACCACACGTGCCTGCCACACTGAGCCCCACTCAGAGCCTGCAACCACCACACGTGCCTGCCACACTGAGCCCCACTCAGAGCCTGCAACCACCACACGTGCCTGCCACACTGAGCCCCACTCAGAGCCTGCAACCACCACACGTGCCTGCCACACTGAGCCCCACTCAGAGCCCGCAACCACCACACGTGCCTGCCACACTGAGCTCCACTCAGAGCCTGCAACCACCACACGTGCCTGCCACACGCCTGTGCAGCCCAGGGCCCGCAACCACCACACGCTCCTGCCCACAGCGCCTGGGCAGCCCACTCAGAGCCCGCAACCACCACAGCGCACAAGCAGTGGTGGATGCTAGCACAGCTCGCGGGACGCACAAGTGGCCCCAGGCCGTGAAGAGCGAGTGAGGCTCCTGCACCACCGGCCAGAGGAGCACTGCGCCAGGAAGGAGATGAAGACACAGCTCTGGGTGCGGCCCTCAGCAGGCTGACCACCTGCCGGCCAGCTCATCTCGCTGCAGCGTGTTCTCACAGGCGGGGAGCCGGCACCCCCCTGCTGCCTGGGTCCCCTAAGCTGTGGAGAGTGCAGGAGACCCAGGGGACAGCAGAGACAACACGGGAGAGGCAGAGGGAGAGCCCAGAGGACAACTTCAAGGGAAATGCAAAAAGGTTGCGGAAAGATGGAATTTCTGGTGTACAAAACATACTTCCATGAATTTCTGAAGATCCTGTGACATCAAATTCACCAAGGCGCCGAGGAAGGAAGGTCCGGGGCAGAAGCCAAGCTCTGTGGTAACCACAGGCTGGGAAGGTCATCAATCCTTCCCACCGTGAAACCAAATCCACAAATAGCATCGAGCTTATTACGGAAACAACTCGGTACAGTCAATGCAAACATAAAAATAAGCTTTGATTAAACTGACGATAACCTTCTTGGATACAAAATGCAATGTTTAACATTTTCCTAACCTAACTTCTAAAGGAATCTATTATATTTCTTTGTTCTATTTTTATTTTCATTTGGGAGCCAAAAACAGCTATTTTAAGGTTCTTACAACACAGCACACACCACCAAGAGGTCAGGAAGTTCTGGAAAGCATTCGGTGGGGGTGGAGCGCAGTCCCAGCAGCCCAGCCCAGCTCTGCACGTGCTCACGGCGGGTGGGGGCTCCATCTGGGGGGAGGCATGTCGGCTTCATGACCAGTGTGCAATCCCTCAGACATACACATGCAAATTACTTCATGTGAATTAAGGACCAAAGCGTTAAAAAAAAACAGTGAAAATTCCACAACAAAATTTATGAAAATATTATGCCAAGGTTATATGATCTTCAACACGAGAGCCAAAAACAAACAAACAAACAAACAAACAAACAAACAGAAACACCTAGTATTTCTGATTACATACAATTTTAAATGGGGGCTGCCAGCATGGCACAGTGGGTAAGCTAAGCCAACGCCTGCAGCACAGCACCCCATTTGTGCACTGGTTCGAGCCCCAGCACTCGGTTTTCGACCCATGTCTTTGCTCAGCGCCAAGGAAATCAGCAGAGGATGGCCCAGCCTCGGTCCTTGCACCCAGGTAGGAGATCCAGAAGGAGCTCCTGGCTCCTAGCCTCACATCATCTCAGCTCTGGCAGCTGTTGCCATTTGGGGAGTGAGCCAGTGAATGGAAGAACTCTCTCGTTCTCTATCTGTAACTCTAATAAAAATAAATTTTCAGGGCCCGGCATGGTGGCGCAAGTGGTTAAAGGTCCTCGCCTTGCACGCCCGGGATCCCATATGGGCGCCGGTTCTAATCCTGGCGGCCCCGCTTCCCTTCCAGCTCCCTGCCTGTGGCCTGGGAAAGCAGTCGAGGACGGCCCAAAGCTTTGGGAACCTGCACCCGCGTGGGAGACCCGGAAGAGGCTCCTGGCTTCGGATCGGCATAGTATCGGCCCGTTGCGCTCACTTGGGGAGTGAATCATCGGACGGAAGATCTTCCTCTCTGTCTCTCCTCTCTGTATATCTGCCTTTCCAATGAAAAAATAATAAAAATAAATCTTTAAAAAAAATAAATTTTCAAATAAAAAAAATTAACTTTTTAAAAACATAAAGAATGATATACACACACAGCTGCATGTACACTGCCTCCTCCTCACACCTGTGTCTTAGCTATGTCACCTTATTTAAAGGAGGCAAAACCCACCAGGCAATTTTGAAAAGAGAGACAGAACTGCATGCTCTCCTCCCACTGGCGGGGCGGGACCCGCTGTGGTGGTGCTCCGGACTGCGACCTGAGCCAGCTCAGGAGCACAGCGACGCACAGCCCGGGCCTCGGGGCCCGTTTCCTGATCACGGAGACCCTGGAAGGCAGCAGGACTGTGCCCAGCTGCGGAGTGAGCGGGTACGACGGTCTCTGCGGCTGGGCTCCATGCCCGTAGTCTGCGAATTCTGCAGCAGCAGAAATAACAGTACAGAAGAAGGTACGCACAAGGACACATGTCCCGGCCCGGCACCGCCATGCTCACTGCGAAGGGCTCAGACAAGCCACGGCAGAGTTCTGCCGCACACCACCACAGTGTGCAAGGGTTGACTCGGGCTCACCTGCTAATGTAGCGAGATCCTAAACAGTGCAATTGTGAACCTCAAGTTCCTGGGGGACCCCAGCAAGACACAAAACACACAGCACTCTCGGGGAGACCAGGTTACTTAAAATGTTTGACACAGCTCTGAACTAACTTGTTATAACTTTACTTTTTGGAAAAAGCTAAGAAAAGTTTCTCAAAGAGCAGTCCTCCCCAAGTGGACAGGGTGTAGGGACAGGAGGCCACCACGGGCAGAGTTAGAGTGGACATGGGGCCTGCAGTGAGGCAGACACAGCACGCTGCCAACAGCAGAGCAGGGAAGAGCACCTCCCTGACGCACCCCAGCTGGCGCTGCAGACAGCCGGACGGCCATCTGCACGGTGAGGGCACCTTCCCAACAAGGGGGCAGCATGCGGCTGTGTGCTGAGCAGGCCTTGCGCTCTCAATGAGGAGGTGTCCCCAGAAAGGGGCGGGGGCACACAGAGAGCAAGTGGCAAACATGTCTGACCCCCTGTGCCATGCTCCTGTCCAGCCAGTGCCCTGGTGGGCACACACACCTCTGCAATCAGATCCTTTTGCCAGCAGCTTAGCTCCACACAGAGCCACACGACTGCATTCAGCAGGGGCACTGTGGGGGCGGGGAGGGGACACAGAGTCATTGCACTGGGGCAGTTCCTCCCTCGGAGGGGTGGCCTGAGAACCTAGTGGCCCCAGGTGCCCCAGGGACAGCTGATGGAGAACTAGAGGACCCAGCACAGCACCCTTGGTCTTGAGGCACAAGCACCTCCCGCTGGTGCCATGGCTGCCATACTAGGGACTTCTCCAACAGGGCTTTTGGCAAAAGGAGGCCACGTGAGCCCTGGAGTGGCCTCCAATGCTCGGGTCCACAGCGGTGAGCGTGGCAGGCAGACAGGACTGCAGGACGTGGCCCCGTGGTGCTACGGCGGGCTTTCTGCTCTCTCTACTCTGCCAGCTCAGCGGGGGAGGCGGTTCTCAGGGCAGCGGTCAGGGCACCTGCTGCGTCTGCGGGCAGCACAGAGAGAAAGGGCCCTCAGGCAGTGGTCAGGCGTCCCTGCGTGTGGCAGCGTGGGCACCTCGATGCAGGTGCCAATCTGCAGACAGGCAGCCTCAACACTGGGGAGCCCTCAGCGTGGCTACAGTGCTCTCAGGACTGTGACATGGGAGGTCCTCACCAAGGACCCCACAGGACACGGTCACAGTCCAGGATGCTGGCAGGCCATCCAAACCTGAAAGCTCGGCCTGTGTGGGAAGCCTGGCAGCTTGTAGTGTCAGTTACACACACCACACCCCCACCCCAACACACCTGCACACCCCAACGCACCCCCACACACACCCCCATGCACACCTCCACACCCCCCCACACATCCCCACGCACACCTCCACATCCCAACCCCAACACCCCTCCACACACATCCCCACGCACACCTCCACACCCCCACCCCAACACATCCCCACACACACCCCCACAGCCCTACACTCCCCATCCATCTCCACACAACACATCCCCCACACCCCCCCCACACACGCACACCTCCACACCCCCACACACCCACACAACGTGGCTGTTGGGCTGTGACTTCACCTACTAGATGGGGCACAGAGATGATTAGCAAGGTGCACTATGAAGGGTTCCAAGAATTATCATTATTATGGGACAAGTGATCGGACGTGACATGATTACACTGATCCAGACGGTATCAAGGTCTCCACTGCAGCAATATTGTGCACGTGTGTGTGTGTTCTCAATGCGAGATACGCACTACTATTAATAATGTACTTGGAATCATTTTATCTTTCAATATTGCTCTGGAATTCCAATGGTAGCACAAAGCAGGAGGCACAAAGGCTTCCACAGAATGCTAACTTGCCTGTGTCTGTTCACGCCCCAATGCACGCATAAGGAATTTAGCAGTCTGCACAAGAGTGGAACTGAAAGGTAACTCAGTTGGGGGAAAAAAACAACCCAATGCTGAGATCCTTGTGCAGTTCTTTTCCTAATTCCCACTCCATCCTTATACACATGGACCAAAATAAAGCTTACCTTTTAATTCCACTTTCCCCCAAACATTCTGAAGTGTCCTACACAGGAAACTAAGAGCTCAGTTCAGAAACAGGGCCCAGAAGGAAAAATCGGTGCCATGGGAGGATGCAAGACAACTCACGGATCTGCCTTCTGCTCTGTTCTCACACAGGGCCAGCGCCCTGGGAGACACAGGCAATCACTCAGGGGATGCAAGGGGCCAGGCAGAGCAGTGCCACATAGGCTCACCGCCCCGGCCTCCGTCCCAGGGGACACAGCAGCCAGGTGCCAGGGGCTTCCACGGGGGGCTCCCCCCTCCCCCAGACAGGCACTCGGCACAGCCTGCCCTCAGATGTCACACACATAGCTGAGGGCTCTGTAGGCATCATGACCTAAACCACACTGCTGAGACTGCCCACCACGGCAACACGACTCGGGGCAGCACACCTCTTTCTCTATGAAGATGTGGAAGACCAAAGGTTGGTGGCATAAATGGGGAACATTTGCAGAAGTTACAATGGCTCTCCTGAGGTAGTCTCTTGTTTCAGCAACTGGACAGAATCATGGTCCAAACTATAAACCACATTTAAGATGCTAACTCTAAAAACATTCCAACTCTACTATCAGAACAAAGTAAATGTTTTACTGGCGCATGTTTGAAGTCCTCCTCTGACACGTCACTTTTCAGAGCAGGCAGCCCCGGGCCCCTCCAGCCCACAGGCCGGCTCACCCCGTCCCTGGCCCTGTCCGGCAGCCCCGGGCCCCTCTAGCCCTCAGGCCGGCTTACCCCATCCCTGGCCCTGTCTGGCAGCCCCGGCCCCTCCAGCCCGCAGGCAGGCTCACCTCGGTCCCTGGCCCTGTCCGGCAGCCCCGGGCCCCTCCAGCCCGCAGGCAGGCTCACCTCGGTCCCTGGCCCTGTCCGACAGCAGCACCTCCACCTGCTCGTACTCCCGCATGGCCTCCAGGATGATGCTGCCCTCCTTGCTGAACAGGAAGAGCATGGGGATCTTGATGTCATCTGTGTCCTTCCCGTCCCCAGCCATCTGGAACAGAGGGGCTGTGTCGCTGCTGCTCCCCTCGTTGTCATCTGGCCAGAGAACACAAGGCAGACATGAAAGCACCTGTGTTAAACCCACGCTCCTCTTCTCCCCTGCTAGAGGCACTCACTCTCTGCATCAAGAACCTCATCTCCTCAGCTAATTCTCCTGCAGATGTGATCCGAGACCAGAGAAAGCCGAGTGCCCATTCACTTAAGTGCTATAATAAACCATTACAGGCGATTGCAATGAACCATTTGATGGAACATAAGCAGGGCATGAAATAAGAAAAGGCAGGACACACAATTCTACAATTCTGAGTGAAGCTCACAGGTGGAGAAACGCAAGCTTGTGGATCACAGTGAGACCCAGGAGTGGGCTCTAGGGCCGCGCACACCCAGGCCGAGCAGCCCTCATCCGAAAGCTGTGACTGCACTGGAGCCAAGGTGCTTTGCTGGCGAGGCACAGGAAGCACTCGCAGCGTCTGACAACCCTGACTCACACAATGCTTTACCAAACAGCAAGCTGACGCCTTCTTTTCTCACAGAGACAATGACCCCACTGGGTTTTCTTTCACTGCTGTGCTGTCAGGCACATGTTCAATACCAGCAGGAGACCTGACTGGGGTGCCGAGGCCGCCCACCACCCTCCCTCCCTGGGGAAGTGCCCTGGCACTCTCAGGCTCCTTGGGATCAGGCCACAGATGGCCAGCTGACCCTCAGCCCTCTGGGCCCTTGGCCTGGCACGCAGACCGTGTAGACAGCTGTAGTCCAGGGCCACCCCCTCGGAGCTGAAGTGTGGGTCTGAATAGCCCCTCTGGACCTGAGGCCTAAGAAGGGAACAGGCTGGCAGGTAACAGGCGGCAGGGTGCTCAGAGAAGGCCCAGGGCCAGGGTGGATGTGTGAGGTGGCTGGCAGCAGGAGGCTCAGCGTCTCTCTCCAAGTTCAGGGAAAAGGACCATCTCCATCACAGAGCAAAATTTCCTCCAATCAGCCCACATGGGCGTCTCAGGCAAGTCAAGACTGCTAAGATAGTCTGTACTTCTGTCCCTTGGAATAAAAACTAAGTCCGAATTTAATCACTTACATATAACCAAAACCAGTAAACAAACAAAAAACCAAAAAACAGCCTATTGTGGAACCAACAAAGCTTGGGAGACAGAAATCCTAATACAAAGCTTCTCTTTGAAAACTAAATGTCTGGGGGCTGGGCTGTCAGACAGCAAGAGCGGTGCTGCCAAGGCTGCCTGGGCACCGTGGGGGGGGCTGGTACCATGCGGGGAGGGCAGTGGGACATGGAAGGCTCAGGCCGTGTCCAGGTGGGATTGCTGAACGAAGCTCGAGACGTTCACCTGGCCTAGCGCGGCCGGGAGGGCCACTTGGGAAGTGAGCCAGAGAATGGAGGAGCTGCCTCCACCCCACCCAACCCCATCCCCAAATCCTTCTCTAACTCAGCCTTTCAATCCATTTTTTCCTTAATGCCAGGTTAAGGATAAGGAACAGGGCTTCTTGTTCGCAAGACAAGGGCCGCAGCTAGGGTGTCGGGCAGAGCCCATGCGCTGCCATCCCCAGCACACTGGGCAGCCCACAGGGCACAAGAGCTCAGAGAGATGTTACTCAAACCAATCTCCCTTTTTGCAAACACTAAAGTAAGATCATGTAACGACCCTCAACTCAGGAAGGAAAAAGAAACTGGAAAGCCCAAACGGACTGCCCTGCCCTGTCAGGACCGGGCAGGATCCCGGGAACCGACCCCGATCTGCTGGGGGCACATGGTCAAGGGGACACGCTGTTATCTGGAGCTGCATGGGCACACAGCCCCAGATGGCAGCAACCGGAGCTTGCCCGTTGCATCCTGTCATTGACGCGGTGCACGGAAACCCGCCCCGCAGCCCTTGGGAAGAAGGCAGGTGCAAAGCACCACGTCTCCAGGCGACCATGCTGATGCTATCCAGACGAAGCATAAACAGCACAATCAACTCAACAGGATTTAGAAAAGCCGAAGTTCCAAGAGCACCCCGTCCGGGTGCCCCGGGACACAGGACTCACCAATCACGATGCCGCCGATGGCCCCCGCGTTCTGGATGTTGCGTGCCTTCTCGGCAAACATGCACTGTCCCCTCTGCATCAGCGCGATCTTCCCCACGACAGCCTCTGGGTTGGCGAGCTCCGAGCACCCATTGTACGGCTGGCTGCTGGCAACAAAGCCTCGTGTCTAGCAGCAACAGAAGTCACACAGACAGCCTGTTAGCTCGCTGCCTCATAGGCCAGCCATCACACCTCAACACACATAGAACCCCAACCCACTTTTTCCGTAGTCTCAAATACAGCATGGGCCTGACATGGTAGTCTAATGGCTAACATGCTCACCTTGCATCTGCCGGGATCCCATATGGGTGCCGGTTCACGGCCTGGTTACCCCAGCTCCCTGTCTGTGGCCTGGGAAAGCAGCAGAGAATGGCCTAAAGCCTTGGAACCCTACACCCATATGGGAGACCTGGAAGAGGCTCCTGGTTCCTGGCTTCCAATCGGATTAGCTCCAGCCACTGCGGCCACACAGGGAATGGGACAGAATATAAAAGATCTTTCTCTTTGTCTCTCTTTCTCTCTATAAATCTGCCTTTCCAATAAAAATAAGTAAACCTTTAAAGAAAAAAAGAAATACAGCATGAGCTTCAGTCTGGAACATTCTGGACATGCCACGCCTCCGTCAGTGTTTACAGAGTGCCCCTGCAGTTGACCTGACCTGCACACTGAGTCTCGAGCAAAACTACACAGCATCAGCTCCACAAGGGCAGTGTGGACAGAGGCCGAGCCGCGGCCACAGACACCCTGTTCACCACAGGGAGCCCCGCCTGCCTGGGGAAGCTGCAGGAGTCATAAGCCACCGGCTGAGCAGCACCCGTGTGGCTGCTGGTTTGAGTGCTAGCTCCCTGCTAATGTCCTGGGAAAGCAGTAGTCCCTTGCACCCCTGCTGGAGACCCAGAAGAAGCTCCTGGGTTTGGATTGGCCCGGCTCTAGCTATTAAGACCATGAGGGGAGTGAACCAGTAGATGAAGGATATCTGTCTCCTTGTCTCTCCCTCTCCATAACTCTTTCAAACGAAAAGAAGGAAGGGAGGGAGGGAGGGAGGGACGGAGGGACGGAGGGAGAGAGGAAGGTGGAGAGAAGGAGGGAGGGAGGGAGGAAGAGAGAGGGGAAGGAGGAGAGAAGGAGGGAGGGAGGGAGGGAGAGAGAGGAAGGTGGAGAGAAGGAAGGAGGAGGGAGGGAGGAAGGGAGGGAGGGAGAGAGAGAGGAAGGTGGAGAGAAGGAGGGAGGGAGGGAGGGTAGACTGCGGCTGCAGAGGACAGCTGCACTAAAACCCAAACTGTGTTAATTAAGTGCACACATACCCCCTTATGTTTAGACAGATCCAGCCCAAACTGGGCTGGACCCGCGGTCAACACCACCCTGCCAAAAAACGGGTGGGACACGATCTGCACGGCACGCGGGGGCAGCTGCTGCTCCTTCTGCTGCCGACTTGATAGCTCCATCATCTCCTGCATGAACCTCAGACCATCTTCGGCGTCCACGGAGCTGGCGGCCTGCAGGACAAGCACGTGTCTTAGCTGCCGGTCGGGAAGCGGCATCTACTTCTGTGAGGCAACTTCCCGCTGCAGGATTCTGCTCCACAGCTTCTCCTTCCAGCTTTGAGGGATCCCAGGCACTTACCACTTACCCTGCAGCTTCTGAGATCTGCAACTATCAGTGTCTCCTGCTCTAGTCCCTGGACACTCGGATACAGCCTGAGAACAGGGTTCCAACAAGCGATCCCTTGGATCATTTCTACCCGGGCTTTGCCTCTGAGAAGCTAACCCCCAAGGCCCCTCCCTGCAGCACACGAAGTAGCATCAGCACCACTGGCATACAGGCACCAGTTCAAGAACCAGCTCCCTGGACGCCCTTGGAAAGAGGTGCAACTGCCTCCACTCTTCGGGGGCTCTGATGGAGCCCCAGGCCCAGCCGTGGGAACTGCAGCCACATGGGAAGGGAACCCACAGACCAAAGTGCTCTTCCTCCCCCTCCCTTCTTTCTGCCTTCCACATAAAAAATACACCATTCTCTAAGAAGATAAACTGACCCACGCAGCAGGGTCACTGGATTGAAACGTGATATCGCTGGTGCCTGCTCCAAGGCAGCCCCTGCCGAGGCCCTGGGGAGACCCCGTTCCTTGAGAAGTCTGTGTCTACAGGGCAAGACACCCAGGCTGCAAGGACACAGCCTGCGGCTGGGGAAGAGGGCCTGCAGGGCTGAAAGAGCCTGATCGCAGGAAAAAAACAAGTGGACCCTGATGCTTCCCACAGACCTTGCTGGGCGTCAGAGGGAGAAGACAGAGAGGAGCTAGGACACAGAGGGTCAGGTGCACCCTGACACTTGCAGATGGCATGGTGACCTGGACATCAAAATGACATGCTGAGGGAGGGCAGGAGGGGCGGGAAGAAGGCAGCGAGTGTTGGGAGTCCTGACACACAGAAAAGGTAGTGAGCAGCTAGAAGGTGGACACCCAGGGCTGTGCTCACTCCTGACATGTCAGGTGTGCAACGGTGCAGCTGAGCGTGTGGGAAAGAGGAGGAGTGTCAGCCATCTCTGCTAACACCCTACTCAGCACTTTACAAGGAAGAAGCAGCCAGAGCAGGGCTTAAAGCAAGCAGCAGAGGGGCAGGAGTGCACTGGAGGACAGAGGAGCTGTGGGGAGGCGCCACGCTGGCCTACAGAGGGGCCCTGCCAGGAGACAGAGGCCTCATACTGCTGGACTGAGGGTCCATGTTCAGGACCAAGGGGCCAGGCTGACAGAGTGGGGCATTGCCCTATCACGGGGCTGTGCATGGTTCACAGCATGCGGTCCCAGGGAGGAAACCCAAGGTGTCTTGGGGCGCCTTGGTGGCAGCAGTGCCACACCAGATGCCAGGACTGGTGGAGAGGGTGAGGAGGAAGAGATGCGGCAAGGGGAGCTCTGAGGGGAAGGCTGCTGAACAAACTCGCTACAAAGGCAACCCAGCTTCTCAACTGAGAACCAATACCACAGCACAGTGCGTCCCGTTCTAGCCACAGTGGACTCAATGCAAATTCTGATTTCTGTGACTGAACACAAAATTTAGATGTAGCTTTCTGGAAAGTCAAACAATGTAAAACATGACACATGAATATCAGAAGTGACGATCGGCCATTTAGGTCATCTCCCTAACAAGGCAGGGAAAGGCAGAGAGCACTCCCAGACACTGCCCAGAGCCAGAACCCCGATTCTCTCACTTAGCACCCTGTGTAAAGGCCCAAGCAAGCCGGCCACCACCCACGGAAGCTGCAAGACGGGGGGCAGAGGGCGGGTCTGACGCGCACTCAGTGGCTTACTTGCATCGCATGCTGGACCAACTGGACTCGCCCGTCTTTGAGGTGAATCAGACTCACCCCCATCTTCTTCAGGATCTCTAAGTGCTCAGGGTTAGTGGCCATGAAATCTCTGGCTCGCAGAGGGGGCTTAGCTCCGCTCCTGAAGCTCTCCTCTCTGCAGGAAGGAACCACAGGTGAGGCTCAAGGCACCCGAGTTGCCCACGGATACAGGCAGACAGACACAAGCAGGGAGCTGGACACACATTTTCACCTGGGAACACAGGCGCAAGACGGGCCGGCACACACGCCACCTTGCTGGTGCAATGGTGCGCGCAGTGTGTGCCCCTGCAATGCCCTGCAAGCAGCCAGAGGAGGCCTGTCTGGGCTCTGTTACTATGCCTTCCTCACAATATTCTAAAAGCAAGCCAAGGCCTGTGACAGGGAATGATATGCTTATTACAAACTGTTCATCCAGTGGCCTTTGCAATGTAAATATCGGAAGGAAATGCACATTAAGCCAAAAAATTTGTATTTAATAACCAAGAATAAATTACTGCACAAAAATAAAACCAAAATAAAAATAAACCTGAATTTTGTTACACAGTTATCATAGTAATAAGGAGAAACACTTCCTGTGCAACCAAGACATGGAGGTAGTTTATTAAAATCTCTCCATGAAGATGAGCCACAGGGCAGGTGTCTGGGGCAGCGGTCAAGGGGCTGCACCCGCTCAGAGGCCCTCGGTCCAGGTCTCGGCGCCCCTTGGGACACAGCCTCCTTGTGACATGCACTCTGGGATGGCTCACACGCTGCCCGCAGCCCCCATGGAGGAGCCCCCCAGCGAGCCCAGCCTGGCCCAGCCAAGGCTCTCACAGGCATGTAAGGAGAAGACCAGCAGAGGGACAATATCCTCCTCTTTCTCTCTACCTTTCAAATAAATTTTTTAAAAATGAAATAAAATGGGGTGCCAGAGATTAAAAACTGTTATGTGCTGCCTCCCTCGACAACTGCTGAGCTCACTAAGCAAAACCTGAGAATTCCTGTAATAGTAAGGACATGTCAGAAAAAACAAGCCCCGCCCTGGCCTCTCCAATAATGCCACGGCATGCCAGCACCTCTGTCAGCGGGGGCAGGCTGGGAGAACACTGCCTGGGCTAGCAGGCACGCGCCCTTGGCACTCCCTGGCACTCAGCATGGCTTACACTCTGATGATGCCTCGCGGACAGCTCTTATCCACCACGTTCTTCAAGGGCTCACGGATGCTCTGTGCGTACAGCGGGTCATTAGGGAACAGCAGCTGCGCATTGGGACATGTCCAATCAAAATTACTGTCATCCAGTTCCGTATATTCTGAGGTCTAAAACACAGAAGAAAGCCGTGTAAACAAAAACAATGTTTTTTTTTCATTTAAAATTATTGTTAAAAGAGAAACACACAGATGTATATAAGATGTAATGGAAAGAAAAAAGGCAACGTGCTGGGCACCCTCTCCTCCTGCACCTGCTGGAGCCTCAGCAGGGCTTACAGAGCACAGCCCCAGCAGGAGCGCGCCCTGCCGTCACAGCTCACCGTGTTCCTCCTGGGGACGCTGTGCTTGCTGGTCGAGAGCCAGAGAGGCAGCAGGTGGGCCTCCGTGGTGAAGATGTAATCCTCAATGTCAAAGATGATGTCTTCTTTCTCAGCAAACAACAGGTAAAGATATTTAAACATTTCAGCCAAGAAGAAAGAATCCATTCTAAAACAAGAAGTCACAAAGTCACCATGGGAACAAATAACCCCTCCAAGTGCTAACCCCCATGGGTCCTGGCATCAAGGCCACCCTGAGCTGTCCTCTAGACTCTCCAAGGAGACTTCGAAGAAAGGCCAGCGGCCCCTCTGCCCCTCTGCCTCCCGCCCACCTGGGGGTGTGAACGCAGGTGAAGTGTCCAGCAAGAATCTTCAACTAGTACTAAGACCTTGATAACATCACACAGATTGTAATGGTGCTTATCAGACGATCATCTGGGTTATAAACAACACAGCTTTAAAAGGACGGGAGTCACTACAAGTCAAGATGAGAACAGGCAGAAGTAATGAGGTGAAACAAGCATACTTTTGCAAATGGCTCAATTCCCAAAGTGTGTGATTTTATTATTTATTTATTTATTTGGGAATGGCAGATCTACAACGAGAAAGAGCAAAACATCTGCTGGTTCCCTCCCCAAGTGGCCACGACAGTCAGAGCTGAGCCGATCCAATGCCAGGAGCAGAAGGACACTGGGGTCCTGGCGCTCACGCTGAGCCACTGTGCCGGCCCCTCAATGCTGTAATGTTGAAGGCGCTGGAGAGGAGCTGAGCCGGCAGCCTGCAGACCTGGAGTCGGTGGCCAGCCTGTGGTTTCTCACCTCTGGCCACCAGGATGCTGGCACACAGCAGGCACTCAATGCACACTCTTCCTAAAGCTGGCCTGCACCCAGAGAACACCACTGCCAGCTGGCTGGGGCACGGATGCGGCACAGTCTCACGGCAGTGAGCAGAGGGCAAGCACCACCCGCCCAGAGCGTGGACCACAGACCCCACGCTCCCAACACATTAGTGATTGTGCATTTTGGAGCACAAGACTCACCTGTATTGTTCCAAATATTATACCCATGCTAGATGTTCACCTTTTTAGAAAGATAAAAGCCCTCATGACTCCACCTCATCCAGGAGCTGGGAGAGAGGCACCCTCCAGAGCAGACACTCTCAAGAACCACGGACACCTGAGCCACAGTGACCACCATGTGAACTGGGCAGGCTCCGTGCCGCAGCACAGGAAGCCCCACTTCTAACAGCTCCCTGCTCCTGTGCTCGGGAACCAGACAACGGCTCCCCGCCAGACAAGCAGAGGAGCCCGGCAGAGTTGCTGGCTGCTGAGCCCAGCTCAGTCCAGGCCAGCCCTCGCCTCTGCAGCCACCAGGGGGGCAAGGTGAAGGGTAGAAGACCCTTACACTGCTGCCCCAACACTCTGCCCTTCAAATAATGAACAATAAATTTAAAAAAAAAATCTACGAATTGGGTAGGGCTAGCAAGTTGACTGTTATAGGTAGTACGGTCTACTCTGTACTTGAAAGCCATAAGCATACACAAACGAAAACACACCAGGATTCAGAGCGCGTGAGAGCTGGCTACCAGCAGCACCCGTCTCGGGCAGTCGCAGGAGGCAGCTACCACCGGGTCCCCAGTTCTCATTTGGGCAGCCACTCTCTTGTCTCGCTGTGTACGAGGGCAGGGCCCAACTCCACGGAGCTGGAGGTGGGGAAGCACGCAGAGGCCCTGAGCCTGCATCTGGGAGCCAGGCACATGCGGGCGGGGCGGGAAGACCTGCCCCAAACCCGTCAACACTGGATGACCAAGAGTTCAAGGTATATTCACCAGAACTGCCAATCACTGAAAGTCTAATTGTTCCAAGAGATTAGATGGTTAAACTGACAACGTCCTTGCTAGAGCTGGGAAGAGACCAAAACCAACCCAAAGGTCAGCAGAAGACATGGAAAACGAGCATGGGGGAACCTGGCAGCCTCAGCAGGCATGGGCCGATCACAGGCTGCTGGACGGGCAGACGAGCTAGGAATCGATGGCACACCTCACAGGGGACCATTGAAACCAGGGTCCTACAGCGCTCACCCTCACCAGGGAGACCCAGGCCCCCTAAGGGGGTGACAGTGCACATGCATGGGCTCACATGTCCATGGCTCAGTCCCAGGAGGGACACGGTGGGGAGAGCAGGCCTGCTGGAGTCTCATGGGAACGGGCTGCAGGAAGCAGCCAGGCCCAGAAATGTATCGGACAAGGAACAGTCCGAGGACAGAGTGTCATCAGAGTCAGAGCAACGGGGCTCCCTGCGCAGAGTGGACCACGTGCTCCACCGCCGCCACCCAACGACACACCTGGGTGACGCCACACGGGGCAGACTTTTCTGAGGGTTTCTTCAACACTCTTCCCATAAAACATAACATCTTCAACCAGTGCTCTCCTGTGGCTTATACAGAAAGCTGGAACGTTTGGGGGAGCCAAGGCGAGGGACAGCACAAAGGGCAATGCCAAGGCTGCCTGCTGGCAGAAACATGCTGCGGCTCAGAGGGCAGGGCTGCTTCGGGCTGACCCCTCACACTCACTCAAGGGCACCGCCTGGTTGGCACGTCATGCGTGAGCTGCCAAGCGGACACAGCCTTACTAGCTGCACCCTGTGAGCTTGGATGGCTTCCCTCACTGTCCTGCCCTGGTTTCTGCATTTTTAAAATGAGGCGGTAGCAGAAATGCACTCCAGAACTGCTGAGACGCTCCGGGGGATTCAACACACATGCCACGTGGACGTGCAGCTGGACCGCAGGATGATAGCACCCAGGGCTCTCCGCCCCGCCGTGACTCGCACACCTGCTTCATCAGTGCCAGGCCTCATCAGCCATCACCCCACACTCGGAGCGAAGGCTGATGCCTTAGGAGCAGACGGCGGGAACCGCTTCTCGCCTCCACAGTCCCCCGCTGCAGGTGCTCCCTCCTGCCCTCACCCACCCTTGGGCTGGCACCACACAGGGACTCTTCAGTGACTCTCATGTCCCTTTGACAGGTGTCATAGACTTGCATAGTCCTCTCCAAGTCTGTTTATCTGCCCATCTGTGGTAACTCAATGACACAAAGCACGTATGTTCATGATGCTAACCTCCAAACCAGCACAACCCAGGCACAGCCCCAAACCAGTGCAGCCCAGCATCCAAAGAGCCCAGTACTTTCTCAGGGAACACGCTGTGGAGTTGACCAGACGTTTACCAGAGTAACTGAGCTATTGGCACACTGCCTACTGACCAAGGCATGCTCCGCAAAGGGCCACGAGCTTTCTTGCCACCCCCATTGCCCTGGGAATCATCATCTGTTTCACCCATCACTCCAGGTCAGCGATCGAGTGAGGGGGCACGTGGGAAGTACCTTGCTGCACAACCAGCACCGAGAATTCTCCATGCAATGGCATTGCACATGACAAAGTAGCAAGGTTCCGATACTTCACAGCCCTTTCATTATTTAAAAACTGTCTGAGAAGCTAATGTATGCCGGGCACTATGGTGAAGCTGTAAACTATTCACACTTTAAACGGAGTCCGTGCAGGGTAACTGCAAAGCAAGCACACAGGGAAGCAGAGTGTGTGACAGCAGGGACCTTGTGTGAGCGCTGGCCGGCACGGCGCGGTGGGAGGTCATCAGCGGGCTCACCTGTCCTCATGACTCCCAGTGCGCACATCCTTCATGGCCGCGAAGCCACACGGCACTCGAGCATACTTGTTTAAATTCTCAATAAGTGTTTTCCCTACTTCAAGGTAGTAAGGATCCCCTGTAGCCTGTTAGAAAGGAGAAGAGACACAGACACATGTAGCTCCACGGGCCCAGTGACCTGCACTACCAGGCGCTGGGCTGGGACACAGAGCCCAGCTCGACAGTCGGAGCAGCAGCCTCTCAGACCGATGAGACACCGGCTGAAAGGTGGTCAGCCTCCTGTCCAGGGAGACAGCTCACCCAACAGAGGCCACACATGCCTTAGCAGGCAGCTCTCAGCACTGACAAACATGTTCACACAGGACATTGTGAAAAGGAATCCAGCTGCATGTCAGCACTTGAATGTGCCAATAACCCTGGGACTAGAGTGCAACCCCACAGCAGATCCAACCACGGGAACATTCAGCAAGAATCCTGAGAACCCGACCACTGCTCCCCGCCACACGGGGTCCTGGGGCACGAGGGCAAAGGCTCTTACTTTATATAAGAAGTAGGTGCTTTCAGCAAATTCCGGCCTTAGAGGATGCTGGGCCCAATGCACCCGGAAATCGGTGGTAAACGCCTGAGAAGACATACACACAGCAGAGGGCTTAGCGCAAGAACTGCTAGATTCAGTACACATTAGATCATAAACAGGTAATTCATTAAAATATCAGTATGTTTATGTATGAAACATCTCTTTTCTCTAGGGAAATCCTCATTTACTTTTGCAAAGGCTGTTATTTGGACCACCTAAGTGAATAGCCTGTAACCACTCGTTCAGTCCTGCCACCTTGTCAGCCCCTCCTGCTCCCACTAACCTAACTTCTCCGGGTCGCATACAAAACTACATACACGCATGCCGTGAGTGCCCTGGGGAACAGCTACCGCAAGCGCATCACACTGGCATGGCCGCACGGCCTAACGCGCTCCCTCTGCAAGTTTCAAATACACACGGGGGCATCTCAGGAAGCGACTGAAACGTGAGACAAAGACATGAACGCTGCTTGCACGACAAGCATTTTCATAAACCTGCATTTCCATTTCAGGATTATTTTAACAGAAGTTCTTTCTTTCATAACAACTTAAAACTCCATATGGAATGAAACAGGGAATTAAGATAATCAAAATTAGTCCTATTTAAATTCAATTCAGTCAATGATGGAGCTAGCTGGATTTTAGAAAAAAAGATGCAAGCAAATACTACGGAATCCAAATAAGTCTCACTGTGATGGCTGTCATCTGAAAGCATCAGGTAAAGGTTCTGCAGTGCCTGGTCCTGCCCAGCGGAGGGCACTGAGCACCCCAGGGCGGCTCTGCAGGGTGTGGCAGGAACACCAGGCTGACTCCTCCCTGGCCACCAGGGGACACGGGGCATTGCTCTGCCTTCCAGGAGGGCGTGGCCGGCAAAGGCTCCTGTACTGTTTTCACTCAGCAAGCCTCCAAGGGTAACAAGTGAGCGGCCCTCCCCTTGAGGACGGGGACTACCCAGTGGCATAGATGAGGGGAGGACCCCTAGCTGCACAGCTTTCCTTACATGCAACCAGGACCAGCATAACCCAAATCAGGAAGCAAAGCAGAAACACGGGCAATGCTGCCCGAGCCACAGAAAGGTGAGCTGTCCAATCAGAGACAAGGTCGAAGTGCACACTTGCAGCAGGTGCACAGTAAGACTGTCACTTACCTCCGGGAGGAAGTTGTGCTTTTTAATCACCTGATACAGCATCTCATGAGTTTCAATAGCAGGCCTGATATCCCCCTTCAAGACCTAGAAGTCAACCACAGGGTCATCTGAGACGCCGGGGAATGACTGCATCCGCGTCCACCCAGACAGCTGCCGAGGAGGCAGACGCACGCCTGGAGTCCCCGTACCTGCAAACCGGGGAAGAAGGCCAGCAGGGCGTCCATCCAGCTGCGCGCGTTCAGCATGGGCTTGTGGATGTGTACGTCCAGTAGCAGTGGGGGCTGGCTGATGTACCGCATGATGGCGTCGTAGTGCTGCAAAGCACAGCAGCCTTCCTGGGGTGCACGTCCCCTCATGGACTAGGAGGACTGCCTGACTCTGGCCGGGCAGGAGCAGCTGCAGCCCGGGGCCCCGTCGTGTGGTCCCCTCGCAGCTGACATACAGCTGACTTCTGCGACCCAACCACCCCGCAGTCTGTCCTGAGAGTAGGCACTGGTCAGGTCCCCACAGGACAGCATCTGCCCCACTCCGCCAAAAGCATCTCACCACGACCTGACAGTCTCCCAGGAATCAGTGGATGATTCCTCAGGAGTTCTAACAGCTTCTTTGTTGCTGTTCATTTGTTATTGAATTGTTATCACTGGGCACTTGCCATGCATGGTAAGGCCAAGATCCTTATTTAACCTCTCAGTAACCCTGTGAGTAGGCTAGTGTCCCATTTCACATATAAGAAACAGGATAAATACAGCTGGTTACCAGCCCAAAGTCACAACACCAGAAGGTGGTAAGACTAACATGTAAGTCAGGAAACTTCCTGTACTTTTAACCACAAGATCTCACTATTGCACATACATAACATGGATGAACCGGCACATACATAACAGGGATGGACCGGCACATACATAACAGGGATGGACCAGCACATACACAACAGGGATGGACCAGCACATACATAACATGGGTGAACTGGTAGCTGAAGTCAGCTACATTAGTTTCATGAGCTCAACAGTCACAGCTCACGCCTCCCAAGTCCCACAGACCCAAGCACAGGCAGGCGCGGGCCTAGGTCAGAGCGCCAGGATTCCAACTGAGGGGGAAGATTAGTAAAGTTCCCATCTGCAAATCATTTATTGGAACATTTAGAAAATTTTTTATATAAGACTAAAGAAACCCTACTTTGTAAACTAATATTTTTTAACGTATGCAGCTTTCAACCCGTTTATGCCTAGTACCATGAAGGAACACTGTTTAAAAAACGCACTCACATACAACCACACACTTACAAATGAACTAATTTAAGGTGTATTTCCAATAACTGGGTTCCTATCAAAACCTGGACTAAGATGAGACTGGCCATGAGGTTAGCACAAACAAGACCAACTTACTGTATTAAACCTTTCCAGGAAGCTGTCGTCCCCCAGCAGGACATAGGCCTTCAGCAGATACTCATAGTATGAGTCGATACCTGCTCCAACGCCGCTGTCTGAAAAACAGGCCAGGAAGCCTGGTTAGTCAGGCCCTGAGTTCTTCACAGAGGAAGAAGTGGCAGGCTGGCCCTGGCATGCTGGCCCAGGCACACTGGTCCCGGCAGGCTGGTCCAGGTACGCTGGCCCTGGCACACTGGCTCCGGCACGCTGGCCCCTGCACGCTGGCCCTGGCAGGTCGAGGCAAGAAGCATCTGAGCAGGGCACAAACATTCACAGATGGACAACAGCACCTTGTTGACAACACTGCATTGAATACAGTCGCTCTAAGTTTTACCAGTTTTTCTTGGGAAGGCACTTCAATGAGCATCTGACCCTGTCCAGGAAGAACCCAAGCTCCGGGCCTGCCAGGCAGGGAGACACGACCAAGACCGGAGCACCAAAACAAGAAACAGAAACAACTGATAAATCTCTGAGAGACCAGGGCGGGCACTATGAGCAGGGCAGAGGGCAGGCACCATGAGCAGGGCAGAGGGTGACCAGTGGGAGAGACCAGCCGGAGCTCTGCTGGGACAGGGTCCAGAGCAGACACCAGACCTCTGCTCCAGCAGGTCTCCAAACATGGGGTCTGCTGAGGCACAACCAACTGCAATGCTGGGACTGGCACCAGGGCGAGGTGATCGAAGCTGCCATCTGCAATACTGGCATCTCTTGTGGCAGCAGCTTGAGTCCCAGATGCTCCACTTCCAATCCTGCTCCCTGCTAATGCACTTGGGAAAGCAGTGAGAGACAGTCAAGTGCTTAGGCCCTGCCGCCCAGGGACACCCTGCTAGTGGGGAGACCAGCTGACGCTCCTGGCTCGCCTGTCTAAGCCGGAGTCATGGGGGCCATCTGGAGAACCAAGCAGCAGACAGAACAACTTTTTCCCTGTTCCTTCCCCTCTCTCTCCAACTCTTTCAAACAAATACATCCTTAAAAATTAAAATACTCTAATTAGAATCCTGGAAACTTCTATACCCAAGCCATACTTACAATCAAGTAAATCATAGTCTCTAAGCATCCAGGCATGATTGTTTAAAAACAAAACAAAACAAAAAGCAAAGAAATAAAGAAAAAAACAGGCTGGGGCAGTAGCCTAGTGGCTAGAGTTCTCACCTAGCATGTACCTGGATCCCATGTGGACGCTGGTTCGTGTCCCAGCTCCCCACTTCCCACCCTGTGACCTGGGAAAGCAGTAGAGGACAGATCAGCTGTGGCCACTGTTGCCACTGGGAAGTGAATCAGTGGATGGAGGACCTTTCTCTCTGTATCTCCTTCTCTCTGAATCTGACATTACAATAAAAGTGAATACATCTTCAAGAGAGAAAGAAAGAAGGAAGGGAGAGAGGGAGGGAGGGAGGGAGGCAGGCAGGTTGGCAGGGAGGCCGGGAGAGAAGAGAGGTTAGACAGGTGAGAGAGCCTCAGGCTACAGCCCGAGTCAGGAGGCACAGGATCTAACCCGACAAATCCAGGGACGGAGACAAGACGTCCATCTGCTACGTGCTGATATCTCACCTGATGGTGTGAATCTTATGATTTTGAAGTGAAATGAAAATAAATTCTTATAAACATTAGGCAGAACTGGGCCCGGCACAGTGACCGGCAGCCAAAGTCCTCTCCTTGAATGCACCAGGATCCCATATGGGCACTGGTTCTATTCCCAGCTGCTCCACTTCCCACTCAGCTGCCTGCTTGTGGCCTGGGAAAGCAGTCAAGGACGGCCCAAAGCCTTGGGACCCTACACCCGCGTGAGAGACCCAGAAGAGATTCCTGGCTCCTGGTAATGGATCGGCTCAGCTCCAGCCGTTGCGGCCGCTTGGGGAGTGAATCATCGGATGGAAGATCTTCCTCTCTGTCTCTCCTGTCCTCTATATATCTTATACTCTAATAAAATAAACCTAAATAAATAAATACAATGAGGGGAACAAAGGAAGGAAAGAGAACGTGGGAAGTACGCTCCAGTGTGTATACTTTATACAAGTATGAAAAAATACAAAGAAAGGAAAGGTTTTATCTCAGTGAGAGGTTTGCAGGTGTGGGTCACAGGGCCAGGAGCCCAGGCTTGAGTGAAGGGCACACTGGCCGTTACGCTGCCCCGGTGGTGGGACCCTCTCCGTGGCACTTACTGGCATGGGCCAGGGATGAGCTGCCGTGTCACCCGTCAAGGATTACAGTAAATATGATGAGCTAATTCAAACATGAAGCCCAAAGTGGATCAAAAATAAAAAACAACTGCTAAATTTTGAAGCCAGGATTCCGAGATGTTTCAGAAACCAAAGATAAAACTCAGAAATAAAAATATGCAATACTGGAAATGGTAAATATTTGATATGTTCAAAGGGAAAAAATGCCATTCTTCGGGAGCAGGCACATGGCCAGCAGTGAAGATCACAGGAGGAACCGCACTGGTTCGTGTCCTGGAGGACCCGCTTCCCATCCAGCTCCCTGCCTGTGGCCTGGGAGAGCAGTCGAGGATGGCCCAAAGCCTTGGGACCCTGCGCCCGCATGGGAGACCGGGAAAAAGCTGCTGGCTCCTGGCTTTGGATAAGCACAGATCTGGCTGTTGCGGTCACTTGGGGAATAAACCATCGGACGGAAGATCTTCCTTTCTCTGTCCTCCTCTCTCTATAGATCTGACTTTGCAATAAAAATAAATTAATCTTAAAAGAAAAAAAAAGATCACATAAGACCGAAGATCTGCATCTGCATGCCCACCAGCTCCAAGCTGGCTGCACAGCTGCTTTTTTATAAAAATAAGATTTATTTATTTTTATTTGAAAGGCAGATTTGAGAGAGAGATATCTTCCATCTGGTATTTATTTAAAAAAATGGCTGCAGAGGCCAGAGGTGGGCCTATCTGAGGCACAGGCTTCTTTCTAGTCATTAAGCCAGCCTCCAGCGCTTGTCCAGACCCTATGCTGGGAGCTGGACCAGAAGTGGAGGGAAGCTGGATGTGAACCAGCTCATCGGGAAGCGTGCCGCAGTGTGCTACGCCCCCAGCAGCCCCTGCTCTTTCCTCACTAGTCACTGAGGCTGTTTTTGAGTTTTCCATTACTATAAAGAGTTACATGATGAACACCTTCGAAAAAAAGTAATTTTCTACATTTGGTATTACTAGGCTAGATTTCCAGAATTAAAACTGCATTATTTTAATTTCATTCTGTTTGGCAGAGAGACAGATAGAGGGACAGACATCGGGCACCCGCTGGTCCACTCCTCCAACAGCCGGAACAGCCAGCACGGAGCCACATGGAAGCCAGGAGGCTGACCTCAAGCTGGGTCAGTGCACGGGGCCTTCCTAGGGCTGCCCCCCAGGAACTGGAACTGGACAGCAGGGACTCACACCACACAGCGAGTACTCACCCCAGGGCGCCACCCCGCGCCACAGCTACTTTGTGCCAGAAGAGACACACATACACACAGAGGCCCACATCTGGCCCGAGAGCACACAGCCAGCAACACGCTGCCCACTGGGTGCCAGTCGCTGCTGCGGGAGGTGCAGAACTCTTAGGAAGGCTGCTTACGCCAGTCAACACAGACGCCCATCTGCCCCTCGCCCACACAAGGCCCAGTGTTCCGTCCACATTCCATGCCAATACACCTCCACGCTGAGCAAGGGAAAGACAGCACCAATCCCGCACAGAAAGGGTGACACATAACCCAAACCGTAGCGAGCCTGGGGGGAACTGCATCTTATCATATCCCCATTACTATTATTTCTTAAATCTGATTCCTTCACAGAGTTACAAAGAGAGATGGAAAGGGAGGTGGGGGAGAGAGAGCTCTCCATCCATTGGTCCATTCTCCAAATGGCACCAAGAGCCAGAGCGGGGCCATGCCAAAGCCAGCAGGAGCTGAAATGGAAGCACAACAGCAGAGACAAACTGACCCCATCAGGAATGCCAGGGTCACACCTGGAAGCTTTACCCATCATGCCACATGCTGGCTCCCATTATTCCGACAGATGTGGAGGAGTGAACGGTGACTTGACAAGCCCAGTGTACGCACCTTTGCGAACCCAGTCTCCTGTATGAATATTGATAGTCACTCCCACCAAGTTGCTGCTTCGTTGTCTTTTTTCCCACAGAAAATCTAGAGCTTTTCTTGCATACTCCTAGATGGGAAGGAAAAAAAAAAGTATTCTTAAGGACCTTCATGTTTTTGGAAAATAGGAAAGAAATAAAAAACCAAAGGCTCAAAATATTTAAGAACTTAGTAAAATTCCTAATACAACCATTTCTAATGTAAATTACTGTAAGTCAAATCTGGTGCCATGACTCTTGTCTACCCTTCCCACGGCCCCAGCCCACGCTCACACAGGCCCTCCTCCCACGGCCCCAGCCCACGCTCACACAGTCGCGTGTCCCATGGCCCCAGCCCACGCTCACACAGGCCCTCCTCCCACGGCCCCAGCCCACGCTCACACAGGCCCTCCTCCCACGGCCCCAGCCCACGCTCACACAGGTCCTCCTCCCACGGCCCCAGCCCACGCTCACACAGGCCCTCCTCCCACGGCCCCAGCCCACGCTCACACAGGCCCTCCTCCCACGGCCCCAGCCCACGCTCACAGGCTGGACTGACTGCTCATGCAGTTACACATGCTGCTATGGAGACCCTGCAACAGCACCCCACACTCAAGAAGACCCAAGTCAGCTCCAAGCGTGTCCCTGCTGGAGGTTGGCAGCAGTACGCAACTCTGCCCAAGAGTGCTCAGCAAGTCGGCTGGGCTGAATGTGTGAGAATGTCAGATATGTAACTAGGACGGCATGCATATTTTTTTGTCTTTCGTCTTTTTTCCCCACTGCATACTACATTTAAGCGATTTTTAATGCGATCCGTGGTTCCCAAGTGTGATCTGCCTAGCCCGTGACAGCATGCGGCAAGCAGCACTCACAAAGGCCACTTCAGGGAGCTGAGAACACAGCTATGTATGACAGTCTTAGTTCTTGATTCAACCTATTTATCTAAAAAAACAAAAATATTTTCCAATGGCAGAAATTCAGAGCCAAGAGGCTTCATGAGGATTCTATTTCTCCCTGCTCTTGTTTGGTAAGTAAGACTAGAGATCTAGTGGAATCAGCTTTACTCAGGTTTAAAATGGAGTTACTACCAGAACTCGGCCATCCTGCTGCTTGGACCCAAGTGCTGTGAATGTCCCAGGTTGCAGCAGCACAGCAAGTGCCACACCTGAGCAGGGCTGTGCCAGAAACAGGAAGCCTGTGTTAGAGTCACGGCCTGCTGTCTGCCCAACCCGCGTCAGGTAAGATGGAGGCTCTACTTGTCAGCTGCATCAGTTGACAACGTTTGTTCCAAACTAAACGTCGGAAGGCTTCAGCAGGTCTCAAGAACTTCAGAACACAAGAGAACAGGCTTTGAATTCAGAGAGACCCAAGCTGTAACCCTGCTGCGGCTCATTTCCCAGCGGCCTCGCTCAGCTCAGGCTCCTGCCTGCAAACAGCAGCAGCGTCAGGCCTGCACTCCATCCTAAGCGGGATGCGTGCTGGTGTGCCTGCACGACGATTCAGAGGCGACAGCAGCAGGCACGGTGCAGGTACGTCAGGGTGACAGGACGGACCAGCCCAACTAGGAATCTGTCCTCACGCCATCTGAATACACCCGTACAGACACAGCCCCCAACACCTCGACACCCCTACACCTCCCTACGCACAACCACAGACACGCCCCCACAAACATCGTCTAACTTTATTTACACTCAGGTCCAGCGTCTGCAATGCTAAGTACCCCGATGTTTGTGGACTCTGTGCAATGACTAAGAGTTCACCTAAGTCACTTGTTGAAAAGACAGAGTTCTGTGTTCCTACTGTACTCCAATGCTATGCTTAACTCAAATTCTTTTTTTAAATAAAGCACATAGCTAGTCCGTAACAAGCTCTACCCAGGGATATCATGTCCTTTAGAAAATGAGTGACATCTCCTTTAGGTCAACCCATTTACAGATTATATTCCCAACCAAAGACAGAAGCGTTCAGAGATTGGTGAAGGTTTCGGAAGCCAGCAGTCGATCTGGAAGTGTCAGTGTTATGTGTAAGACTACATGACAGCAAGGAGCCACCAAATTCACTAAGATGGCTAAAAAGTGTCCCAAGCATAAACCTAAAAATTAATTTTACAGCTTGTGAGCAAAATGCAAAATATTTCATATGGCTACCTCACAGCAACTTTTCTGTCTCTGGCCATGAAGGGCCACGTGATGGAATGACAACAAGGTCAGGAGGAGGCCGACACGCAGCCGATGCACGCGCGACACAGCCTCACCCGACACGATGACAGCAAGCTCACGACAATGACCGTAATCTTCCATGAGGAGGGCGACACGCAGCCGACGCACACGGGACACACCCGGCACCCAGAGATCAAAGTCCATGAAAGCAAACCTCAAAGATCGTTGCTCCGGTGAACCGACTCAAAGCAGCAAACTCCAGGATCAAAGTGCCCGCACAGGCCGTACAGGTGTCGGTCTCAGCGCCCGTCCGAGCTTCGGGTTTCCTGATGCCAAACTTTAAATTGATCTAAGCACAAAGAGGAGTGTTAGTCCGTGCTCAGCACTGCGGCACTGCCATCATCCGTTCCCGAGACAGCCTGTACCAGTGGCTACAAACACCAGGCTGGACAGCCTCTCCAGAAAGTAGGCATCGTGAGAATTTGTACCAAACACACTGTATTAAGTAACTCTACACAGAGAAGAAAAACTTATATAGTTGGTATTGGAAATGTTTTAAAAATTGTGAAATACAGTTATCACATTACCCTTACTACCAAGCTAAGAACACAAGGAAAACCTTGCACTTCTCAAAGAGGCTTATTTCTTGTATTCAAATATAACCAGAAAATAACAGCAGTAAAAACCCAGACTATCTAAAATATCAAACAGCAGAAACCGGTTACATGAAGAATGTTTTCCAGCAAGCCAAGAAACCAAAAAGAAAGCTGATATCAAGAATTTAGAAAATTAGCAAAATAATCTAATTCAAAACATCACAGGTAAATTCTCAGGCCAGTTATTATTCAAGCTCTTACAGAAGGAAACTCACATAAATTTAATTTCAACTTCTCTGCAGAAGTCAGCTGCCTGCCTATTAGCTCAACAGTGTCTAACCACCAGATTCTAAGCACGCCTACACAAACGAGCCGCTGCCAGCGTGCTGAGCGTGAGTGGGCTCCCACCTTCAGTTCCTGACTCCCTGCCTTGGTACCCCAGGAAGCAGCAGGCGGTGATGGACCATGGGCAGACCCTGGACAGTGGGACACGAATGAGCAGGCGGCAGGTCTCTGTCCATCTCTCTGCCTCTCAAAGGAACATTCTTAGAAAAAACAGTGAACTTAGACTAAAGCAATCTTCAGAAATAAAGATTTTGATTATACAAATTCGACTAAAATATAAGTAACTTTTATAAATATTTGCAACAAACAACAATAAAAATATTTCTATTTTGTTCTATTTTTTAAAAAAGATTTATTTCTTTGCAATGCAGAGAGGTCGAGACAGAGACTTGGCAGCACGGTGGCCCAGTGGCTGAAGTCCTCACATTGCAGGCACCAGGATCCCTGTGGGCGCTGGAGCCATGTCCATGTTCACGTCCCAGCTGCTCCACTTCCCACCCAGCTCCCTGCTTGTGGCCTGGGAAAGCAGTCAAGGATGGCCCAAAACTGTGGAACTGTGCACCCGCCTGGAAGACCTGAAGGAAGCTAATGGCTCCTGGCTTCGGATCAGCTCAACTCCATCTGTTGCAGCCACCTGGGGAGTGAACCAGAGGATGGAAGATCTTTTTCTGTCTCTCTTGTCTGTAAATATACTTTCCAATAAAAATAAATAAATCTTAAAAAAAAAAAAAAGGTCATCATCCATCTGCTGGTTCACCCCTCCCCCAGGGCAGGCCGAAGCCAGGCACCGGGCACTCCATGCGTCCTGGCCTCCCCGGGCTGGCAGGGCCCAACGGCTTCTGCCGGCTCCTGCTGCCTTCCTAGGTATGCACCAGGATTCTGGGCCAGAAGCAGAGTTCCTATTTGGGATGCCAGTGTTGAAGTGATGACTAAACCCTCCACGCCACAACACCAGCCCCAGATTAGCTCACAATTAACTGGTCAATAATTATTTATTAGTAACCTACTCTATGGTGAATATTGTGATAAGGTACAAAAAAAAAAAAAAAGAAAGAAACCAATCTGTCTTGCTCTCAAGGAACTTAAAATCCAGACAGAGTAAAACAGACAGAAGATGAATGACACTGCAACACAAGGGTCAAGCCAGCGGGACCAGCGACAGTGCCACCAGCTTAAGCTGAGAGGTTCTCACTGGCTTGGCAGTAGCTGGGAGCTAAGGCAGGCCCTATGCAGAGGGCATCTTCTACCCCCTTCCCTGTCAGCACCAGGGCAGTCTCCCAGTCATCGTGGCTTCAGCACTTCAGAATGTCTGACAGGTGCACAGCCCTCACCACACCAAGACGACAGCTACAAAATCACATAAAAAGTGTTCTTCCACGCAACTGTCCACATTACCATCGTTTCAGTCAGATATCTACAGGAGTTATTAAGCCCCCCCCCTTTAAAAAAAAGTTCTCTATTTTCACTTATTTGAGCGAGCGAGTAAGCTCTCCCAGGGCTGGTTCCCCCCACCTCCCCAGATGCCCACAGGAGCTGAGGCCGGACCAGGAGGCGGCAGCTCGAGCTTTCCCAGGGCGGTAGGGGCCCAGCTCTCTGTGCCATTGCTTACTGCCACCCAGGGGGTATTAGTAGGAAGCTGGAATTGGGAGTGGGGGCCAGAAGTTGAACCCAGACATTCCTGAACTGTTGGTCTCAAACGCCCACCCCTTCAACAACTCTCAGATGCATTTCTGTCTCATGTGGACACGGCCACCTCCACCAGACAGGAGCCAGTGCCCAGGGCTTTTGGGGGGACATGTCTTTGCCGACACCGACACAGTAACTGGCCAACAGGCTCCCTTCCTCTCGATGACACTGTTTGCAAGCGGCGGGCGCGGGGGCTGCTGGGACCTCTCCTTGCTGCAGCGGCTGCTCCCACCAGGAGCCCCTCTGCCCTTCCTACTGCAGGGCTGGACAGAACACACCCGGAGCATAACAAGCACTTCACTCTGGAAGGAATCTGGGATGTGGCTCTTCTTGGGTTTGAAAAAGCATCTCCTTTCACTAGTAAGGACACGTTACCTACATGGAAGTTATCAGCATTATCTATTTGCTACACTGAAAAAAACTCCTTAAAGTACGCATAAATCGTAAGAGAACCATACCAAGCCTATGTTCTGTAGACAGAACTTTAAGGAGACGGTATGTGAGAAGGTACGTTAATCAGAGTCTGAAGACTGACCCTCGGGCACCCCAGCGCAGCAAACCACTGCCCAGTAAGGCAGATTCTCAGCCAGGCGCCAGCTCATGGCCTGGCTCCTCTAACGGCTCCCTGCTAAAGTGCCTGCAAAGACAGATGACGGCCCAAGATCCAGGAGAGCCACATGGAATTCTAGGCTCCTGGCTTCTCATTAGCCGCTGTGAACATCTGGAGATGTGAACTAGCAGGTGGCAGACATATTCTCTTTCTTGCTGCCACTCTGCATTTCAAACACATAAATAAATCTTTCCCAAAAAACACCACCTAGGGACCAGTGCTGTGGCACAGTAATGGAAGCCGCCGCCTACAGTGCTGGCTCCCACAGAAACACAGGCTCGAGTCTCGGCCGTGGGTGCACCTCAGAAGCAGTGGAGGATTGTGGGAGACCTGGAAGATGCTCCTGGCTCCCGGCTCCGGACCAGCCCAGCTCTGGCTGTCACAGCCATTTGCAAAGTAAAGCAGCAGATGGAAGATCCTTCTCTAACTCTGCCTTTCAAACAAACAAACCTTAAATCGTGTCAGCGATTTTAGTGCCAGCCGTGTAGTTACAGTGGTTACGTCACTGACTGACAGGTAATTCATGGTCCTCCTATAAATTCCCTGATGGCAAACATCCTTTACTGTCTTCTTCCATAGGCGTAAGTAGCTCTTCATTTGTGGTTTCTAAAATGTTCTTTTAATTGATCATTTTGAAAACTACAATCAGAGCTTCTTTAACTCCTTCCTTACACTGTACGCATGTTATCTGACCTCTAAACTCCAGGCTCAGTCAGTCTCCATTCCTTGAATTTAAGAACACAGCAGCATCCTTTCGTGCCACCAGAATAAAGGGCTTTCCTCATTATTTTTAAAGTCTCAACATTCTATAAAATGTTTATTAAACATGGTACAATGATGAAAAACAACAAAAGGAAGCAACTGAAAATCACTGTGCGGTCCACCAGGGTCAAGGTGTAAACAGTGGGAGGTCCACACACAGGAGGGCGGAGGGCATGGAACGCGGGGCGCAGGGCAGAGGGTGGAGGTCAGAGGGCAGGGGGCGGGGGCGGAGGGTAGAGGGCGCAGGGTGGAGGGCGGCTCTTGGCAACTTCACCACTTCTTTTCAGCTCCTGAAGAGCCCCGTGCCCGCCCTCAGCTCAGCACAAAGCCCCCAGGAAGGGACCTCCGTGCACGCACCCACCACACCCAGTTCTGCTTGCCCGGAGGATGCGATGCTGGGCACCCCACAGCATGGGCCCTTCTGCCTATCGCTCACAGCTGCACCTGCACTTCTTGCCACAGCTCTGCGCCGAGTCCTCGCCCGGCGCTGCAGCAGAAGCCAGCCAGCCAGTAAAGGCACAGGAAAAGGAACCTTGTCTCCCTCTGCTCAAACCTATAAGGCTCTGGGGCATCTGTCCCCCGCCTGGGACACATATTCACCCCAAAAACCCGCCCAGGAAGACAGCCGAATTTGCAGTCACTCACTCTGGGGTAGGGCAGGCCGCTGGTGGTGTTGAAGGCCGGGAGGAGCTTGTAGCCCAGCTGCGTGGCCATGTGCAGGAGCTCGCCGCTGTACCACTGCATGTATTCCCCCTTCTCCTTCAGCATGAGGGCCAGGGAGTGTCCCCCCAGGAGGCCCCTGCGGTCACAAGGACAGAACACGGGCCACAGCTCAGACACAGCAAGGACAACACTCCCACGTACATAAGCAAAGATTATAGCAACGGCTGCAGTTTAAACCTGAAGGCTTCTTCTACCCACAACCCCGGCCTCTCGTTCCAGGCAAAGTGGCCACCCAGGCTGTGAAAGCAGGTGCCACGTCCTAATGCCCGATCCAGGCCTGGGCATTCTCTGTACAGCCAGGACACCAGCGGCACATTTAACAAATATGTGTCTGAACAAAACTCCGACCTTAACATGTCATTACCATAGAGTCTTTATCGCCAATAAACTTCTCATTCTGTTAGATGCTAACACATGAATGAATCCTGTGAAAAGCAGTGTTAATCGTCTTGCATCTAACTGAACAAAGACTCATTTGACAAAAACAACCAAGTTACAGTAACAGAAAAAAAAGGAATGGAATAAAGCTGAAACTTGAATTAATAAATGCTATAATTCCAAATTTTCTGACATTTCAAATTGCTTCCCTGAGTGGCCTTACCATGAATTCGGTTGCATGGAGCTTGCCGAGAGGTCTGTGGCTACACTCTGGGTTACCAAAGCCCGTGCTGTCGGCGACGCGCAGGGCTCAGCTCTGCACCCAGACTGCTCTTGACTGAGCTCTACTGCTGTTCCCCAAGCTTGCACCTCTGGCTGCCCCGTGCCCAGCTTCCCCAAGCTTGCACCTCTGGCTGCCCCGTGCCCAGCTTCCCCAAGCTTGCACCTCTGGCTGCCCCGTGCCCAGCTTCCCCAAGCTTGCACCTCTGGCTGCCCCGTGCTCAGCTTCCCCAAGCTTGCACCTCTGGCTGCCCCATGCCCAGCTTCCCCAAGCTAAGCTTCTTTAACACTATCAAGAGACAGCAGTGCACTCTGATCTTCTGTCACAAGAGTAGCATCAGAATTACTTACTTACCCAAGAACTCGGATGTTTGTTTCAAACACTGACACAACCACATCATTATCCAAGTTAACGTCTCTCAGAACTTTTTTCACCGCATCTTCAAACTCTTTTGTTTTATTTAATACCTAAGAGAAGAAAATCATGAAGTTCTTTTCCACCAAGTGAAAAAGCAACAACATATTTATAAACAGTGACCCAAACAGAACAAAAAAAAATGTGAAAATGTTTGAAGTTAAAAAAAAAAAAACCAAATGCCTAATGATACTCTACAGCATGTTGCTACTCTTCATCTTTGAAGATTCACTCATTTGAAAGGCAGAGTGGCAGAGTCAGTGAGAAACAGACCTCCTCTGGCTCACTCCCCACGGGCTACAACAGCCAGGGCTCAAGCAGGTGGAAACCAGCCCTGGGTCCCAGAACTCCCCGTCTCCTCCAGGGGCGCAGGAGCTCAGGTCCGTGGCTGTCCTCCACCGCCCTCCAGGCTCACCAGCAGGAAAGTGGATGGTGGAAACCGGTGGGGCAGACTCAAGACGGCACCTGACACAGACACCAGCATCTCAGAGGCATAGCCTGTGCTGGCCCCACACACCCGCTTCTCAGACACACACAGGCATCAGCGGGATTTTGTTTCCAAAGTGAAACGGAGTCTGGGTATCATGTCAGGGCCATCAGGACCATCCCAAAGCACTGCAGTTGAAACAAGTTCAGATTTCCCGAGCAGACGTATGTAAAACCCATGGAAGATTCTACCATCTAACCCAGGATCTGAGACCAGACACACCGTGTCCCGCCAGCCTTTGGCCATCTCACCCTCCTCTGGGCCTCGTCCCCCTCAACCTGTACATAACCTCTAACCCAGAGTTCAGGGGCGACGCCACTGGGCCTGGGTTTCTGCTTGAAAACCACCAGCTGCCTAGAACAAGACTGCTCAGGGCGTGCCCGGCTGCCCATGAACCACAGCTGCCCAAGACGTCCGTGCGCTGAGGAGGGGAGACAGACTGTCCCTGTCAACATGGGCGACCCTGGCCACCCACTTCCCTCTCTGCACCTGCGAACAGGAGGGGCATCCTGCCTCAGGGCACTGTGCTCTCAGGAGCTAGACAGCAGTGCCTGGCACATGTTCCACATGCTGATGTGCCTCACGCGACTGCACGCCTCACATGGCAATGCTCCCATCACAGGCAGGTGTGGACTGCCAACTCGACCCTCGAGTCCTCAACGAGCTCCCTGAGGGTAAAGGCTGCTTTCGGTTTTGTCTCCAGGAAAGCCATGTGGAGCTTGGTCAGCCACAACTGTAGAGTATCCTAAGAATTCAAGTTTGGTACAAAACATGACACGAGTATCTGCTTCAACTACAAGCAAATTTAGGTTCTCACACTGACCTCCCGCCGTTTTCCAGCTCGGAGGCAGCCACCTGCACAGAGCCCAGGGCTGCCAGAACAGTGACCACTCCGCAACATACCGCGTCCTGCCAGCCTTCCACCATCTCACCCTCCTCTGGGCCCATCTCCCTTGAACTTCTCCCCGTGGAACATGGGGGGTGGGGGGAGGAGACCAAGAGCCAGGCTTTCTTCTTGCTTCTCCAACTGAAAAACAGCAGGGCCCAGTGCCATGGCCTAGCGGCTAAAGTCCTCGCCTTGAACGCTCTGGGATCCCATATGGGCACTGGTTCTAATTCTGGCAGCTCCACTTCCCATCCACCTCCCTGCTTGTGGCCTGGGAAAGCAGTCAAGGACGGCCCAAAACCTTGGGACCCTGCACCCGCATGGGAGATCCAGAAGAGGTTCCTGGTTCCAGTCTTTGGACCGGCACAGCACCGGCCACTGCAGTCACTTGGGGAGTGAATCACCGGACGGAAGATCTTCCTCTCTGTCTCTCCTCCTCTCTGTATATCTGACTTTGTAATAAAAATAAATAAATCTTAAAAAAAAAAATCCAAACAGCAGTACCACCAAGTCAAGTTGGGGAGACTTTCTCACCCACCCTTAGCCACAAAGTCCACTCTAAAGGCTCCTTAGGAGACAGGAGGAACTCAGACCTCACCTTTCCCTTCATCTCGCTTCAATTTTCTCTACAAATTTCCTGGTAGTGGTGAGTTTAAAGGTAAGTTTGAAGTTCAGTGCTTTGCTGCATTACAATCCGTGCAGACCAGATGTAAGACACCGAGACCTGAAGGCAAGGTGCAGCCGCCTGGAAGCAGCCTCCTCTGTCCCAGTGCTGCTCCAGTCCTGGGGCTCCAGCTCGCTGCTGCCGCCACTGAGAAGGCAGCAGGCTGCGGCCCAAGTGCTCAGACCCCAGCACTGCGCTCCTGGCTCCTGGCTTCCTTCTGGCCCAGTCCTGACTGTTGCAACTACGTGGAGAGTCAGAAGGTAAAGATCATCTCCTTCATTTCTCCCCCACTGCTCACTCTGCCTTCAAATCACAAGCTAGATTCTCTGAAAACAGGGATCCAGGGGAGCTGAATGCCTGGCCAAGGTCACTTCTGGCACTCCCTCGGGTCAGGAGCCGGAAGTCCGCTGGGCACCTTCAGGCAGCTCACTGGGGAGGTAGATCGTCAGCACGCCAGACCTGTGGTGCACGCGTCTAACGGTGCCGTGTCACATCCAGCAGGTCAGCCCACTCAGCACGCCAGACCTGTGGTGCACGCGTCTAACGGTGCCGTGTCACATCCAGCAGGTCAGCCCACTCAGCACGGAGACCTGTGGTGCACGTGTCTAACGGTGCCGTGTCACATCCAGCAGGTCAGCCAACTCAGCACGGAGACCTGTGGTGCACGCGTCTAACGGTGCCGTGTCACATCCAGCAGGTCAGCCAACTCAGCACGGAGACCTGTGGTGCACGCGTCTAACGGTGCCGTGTCACATCCAGCAGGTCAGCCCACTCAGCACGCCTACATCCCTTGGGGTCTTGTTTCAAGCCGCCCCGAGGCCTCATGCCCACAACTTTGGATTTTGTGGTACAGGGCCAAAAAATCCCAGCTAATGTTGAGGCTGCTGGTCCAGGGATCCTGTACTGAAAACACCACAGTGCAAGGGTGAGCCCTGAAAAGAAGCAGGCAGACTCTGAGGTGACGCAGCCTTCTCCTTCATGTCTGCTGTTTAAAAACATACACAATATCTGAGTCCATGCTTCTGAGCACAAACTAAGAATGTGCTGCCCATGCGGAGAAGGAAAAGGAGATACAGTGAGGAAGCAAGGCTTCCCTGCCAGCTCTGCTCAGCACAGACTCCCCGCCGCCATGGGGTGCTGAATGGGAGCCAGCGAAGCTACCCCGGCCACACCGGCACCCTCCCTCAGAGCAGTGTAGGCCTGGGAGGATCCGGCTCCCTGCCACGCAGAGCCAGCACATGGCGGCCTGAGGTGGTGGTCCATGCCACCTGCATGCGAGGGGGGCACGCAGGAGCTCCACACTCCTAACTGCAGCCCGGCCCAGCCTGGCTGTGCCGCTCACTAAAGGAAGCAGACACAAGAGTGCCCTACCTCCATCTCTCTTCACTTCCCCTCTCCTCCCTCCCTCTCCCTTGCTCTACCTTTCACATAAATGAATCAGTTTTAAAAGGAAAGTACTAAGCAGTGAAAAAGCAAACAGCGCAGTTCCCTCTCACTGTTAAGCTGTGTCTTTGAGGATATTCTGTGCATCTTTTTCTCTTCTCTTACTATATGCAGAAAGCCTATGACTATTAAACTAAAACCTAGGCCTACAACATTACATCTTTCTCACAGCTGTTAAAATATCTGTTACAATATAGTTTGAGTATACCATTAGCTTCTGGGGGAAAAAAAGGTGTGAATTTCCAACCCTGGTCCAGCTTAGAGAAGTGAGAAACCTTGCAGTAGGTGCTGTCCACGGGCAGGCACGCGGCCCAGCAGTGAAGGCCGTGAAGACGCCGTGGGTTCCACAGCTCGGGCTGCTTCAATCCCGGTTTCTTGAGCAACAGCGGCCCCTGGAGGGTGGGGCCTGCATCTCAGTGGGTTCCCTGCACCCACCTGATCTCTCTTTGCCTTTCAAATATGAATAAAGAAAGGACCTGAACAACCACAGTTTTCAGGCAAAGAACACTCAGCCACTCCAGATCCCCACCAGAATCATTGGGTGGAAAATTAACCCCTGGGTGACCTTCCCAAGCTGCAACTGGAGGAGACCTTGGTTCGAGAAGGCAGGCCCAGGAAGAGCAGAGACAATCTGTGGAGAAAACTCTGATTCCACAAGTTTTCACTACCCCAAAGATTTTGTTTTCTTTTTTAAAAAGAAATCAGCACCTGGGATGTTAATAATGAGAATTATATCTTAAAGAAAATGCTTAAATGAGCCAACTTTGATGTCAGAGCAAAAACAGGAATGACTTCGTACTTAGAAACCATGATATCCAAGTCCAACGTCCCTACTCGGCCACTATGAACAGGAATTAGCTGAATGATTTTGTATCAGAAGAGGCTGAGAAGCACAGCCAGGAAGTGGTCGCATGGCACTAAAACCCCGCACTGAGAAAAACAAACTGCTGTTTACGGACACACAATGTGAAAACTTGCAGTATCACTGCACCGAGTTTTTATGCAACGAGAATATCAATTGTACTGTCTAGGATTGCTTTCTTTTTTCCTTTTTAAATATTTGTTTTATTTTTATTGGAAAGGCAGATATACAGAGAAGAGGAGAGACAGAGAGGAAGATCTTCCGTCCGGTGATTCACTCCCCAAGTGACTGCAGCGGCCCGATCCAAAGCCAGGAGCCAGGAACTTTCTCCGGGTCTCCCACACGGGTGCAGGGTCCCAAGGCCTCGGGCCGTCCTCAACTGCTTTCCCAGGCCACAAGCAGGGAGGTGGATGGGAAGTGGAGCTGCCAGAATTAGAACCAGTGCCATATGGGATCCTGGCTCGTTCAAGGTGAGGACTTTAGCCGCTAGGCCATGGCACTAGGCCAGGCCTAGGATTACTTTCAATAACTCCACCCTCTTTACCCGTAGTAAAACAAAGCAAACCTTGTTGACTCGCTGCCTCACGGAAGCCGAGATCACAGCATCTCCACCACTCCACTCGATTCCACTGAACACCCAACAGTTATTAGAAGCCAAGATCAAAGCACACTAAACTCCAAAGGCTTCTATTTCATGCTTACTGTGTTAATGATTATATTCATCTCACTTGCATGTCAAAATTGTGAAATTAACAAACCAGGCAAAGCAGGAAGAAGCAACCTACCACAAGAGTGTCCAAAGAGTCGATGAGTGTCAGGGAAAACCTAGGGAACAAAGCAAGGAGACCGGTCAGGGCAGAGCTGTCCTCGAGGCTCCCCAGCAGGCGGGGAGATACCCCGCTGAGTCGGGTCCTGCCCCTCCGCAGAAACAACCCCAAGACCCCAGAATGAATGCATTTATGACTACATGCATTGTTGAAGTCATATGAAAGCTGAGGGATTTTAAAAGTGACATTCAATTTTTACTAATTTTCCTTTAAGGGATAAATTAATATTTCACAAAAACATTATAGGAAAGAATAAAGCAGCTCAATGTAATAGCTAAGGGAATCTTTCAACTGCAGCCAGCGCCAGCACACTTGTCAACTGTGGCACAACAGGCTGAGAGCCCCACCCTGGCCCGCACTCACTTCCCCAAGGCGTCATCCACGTCCCCGCGACTGGGCTCCTGGCCTCTCACCCGGCCTCGGCAGGTCAGCGGCATGAGCTCGTCTGCTGGGTAGGCGTGTTCCTGCAAGGACACCTCAGTGAGACACAGGACAGGCCCAGCACACTGCAGCGAGGGCCTTCACTCGGGAGAGAACAGTTACTCAGTCACTGTGCCATCTCACCGTGTGCAGGCTCTTTATTTATCTCATAAATGCAATCAATGTGTAAGAAACGGAAACACCAAACACCTCTTTAGAAAAGCGATCACCTGGCCCCCATGCACAAGCTCACGCCCCAGCCGTGCCTGCTGTTTACACCCCGGCCGCCCACACGCATCACTTCACATTGCAGTTACAGACCATCACACCCATCAAAAGCTCACTGACTGGAGTCACGGATTCCCAATGCTGGGATACTGTATTTTGATAACTGCAAAATGGCAATTTAGTATTAGCTGATGTTACTGAGCACGTATGTTCTAAGTACTACTCTACAGGCTTTAGCTGACGCAGTGACCACAACCATCTCGTCCATGAGATAACTGGGAGCCCATGTCACACAGGCGGGTAATGACGGACCCAGACATCAAAGCCGGGAACCCAGTCCAGGGCCTCGACCCTGAATAGCGTCTGCCCCTCACAGCACTCTGCCTTCTGGCCACACAGGAATTCTGCTCACTCCTCGCTGTGCGAGCCACACTGCCACAGCCAGCCTTGTGCAGTTCTCCGCATGCGGACTCGTATTTCTGCTGCTGACCAAACAGGCCCGCTGGTCTGCAGGGTCGTTAGTCCCTGGCAGATACTACCACACTGAGCAGACCCACTCAGACTATTATCACTAACACACAAAAATAAATTTAAAAAATTAAAATTAAAAAATCCTTAACACAGGAGATGACCAATGGTTCACATTTCACCAATTTTCTAGATGGAAAAAAAAAAGGCACCTCAGGTTCCCCTGCTCATAGGGATAAACATCCTCTTACATTAGTCATCCTTATTTTCTGGAACATCTGTTTATACTTTCTGCTCATTTGGGGTCAAACAACTCCTTATATGTTATTTCTATTACATTACAGTAAAATGTTTTTTCTTGTATTTTGCTTGGCTTTAACTTTGCTTAGAATGTTGATACCAGATCGGTTTCTGCATTTCAGCCATGCATCCCAGCCTGGCCGGGGGTTAGCTACTTAAGCCACCGCCATCCCCCCGGGAGCTGCCAAGGTCAGCCCCAACTTCCCGCCAGCACAGACCCTGGAAGGGATGTACCTGGGCTCCTGCAGAGCACATATAAACAAACATAATAAATAAACTGTATAGAATACAATATATAAAATCTATCTACATAAATATAAAATGAATTATGATGATCAAATAATCATCATTCAATACTCAATAATTTTTAATAATTACATCATTTCCTCTGCCTGGGACCAAATTCTTGTTTGTGACGTGAACCAGGAATTTTTTTTTAATTCTCAGGTATTATTTATTTTGCTTTTTCTTTTCTTTTTTTTATTATTATTATCATTTTATGATACAGTTCCCTAGGCCCTGGGATTTCCCTTGCTCCCTCCCCAAGTCCCTTCTACCTCCCCCATCACTGAGTTCCCCTAAATTATTATTATAGCATAGTTCTTCATACACAGTCATACGTCCATTACTGCGGGCATGGACAATGGCAGAGTCCAGCATCCTATTGGGAGTCCATCTTCACTGGGAGTCCGTCTTTGTCTGGAAGTTGAGATGCATACTGCATTGTATCCTCACATCTGGATATGCTAGTCTCCATTACACAGTTACTAGACATCCCCTTAAAGCAAAAGCCACAATATAAAATCAACCACAGGAAGAAAAGAAGAAATTAAAAATGCCATGAAGTTAAATAACATGCTACTGAATGACTAATACATCACTGAAGAAAGGAACATGAAGAATCTTCTTTAATAAAATGATGCTACTGTATGATCTATGAGTCATTGAAGAATTTAATGAGGAAGAAAGTATTTTGAAGAGATTAAACTAAAAAACAAAAATCAAAATCCATGATATAGTTTCCGCTGATCTTTGTTGGTGAGATATGTCTTCTATAGGCAACAAATCGATGGGGTTTGATTTTTAATCCAGTCTACTAATCTACGACGTTGATTGCTGAGATTAAGCCATTTACATTTAGGGTTACAGATGAATGGGTGGTAATTTGATCCTGTCATTTTAGCAATGGGTTGTTCCCTGGTTTAGTCTTGTGTTGTCATTTTACTGGGATGTTCTTCACATTTGCCTTTGGTTTTGGTGGGTGCTATTCATCTTCTCTGTCAAGAGAACATCTTCAAGTATCATTAGTAGGGCAGGTCTGGAAGAGGCATACTCCTTAACTTTTCTTTACTGTGGAAGAATTTCATTACATTTTCAAAGACAAAGAAAAGCTTTGCTGGGTACATTATCCTGGGCCGACAATTTTTTGCTTTTAGAATCAGGAATGTCACTCTGTTCTCTTCTTGCCTGTAGAGTTTCCTGTAAGAGGTCTCCTATGAGTTTAATTGGCATTCCTTTATACGTCAACTGATTTTTTTCACGTTAACATTTCAGGATCTTTTCCTTATGTTCAATTGAAGAGAGCTTGATTATCATGTGTTGTGGTGAAGATCCCTTTTGGTCAGCCCTGTTGGGAGTTCTGTGCCCCTCCTGGGTATTGTTTCCCAATCCTTTCTCTAGATTAGGGAAAGTTTCCATTATTATTTCATTGAACACACCTTTAATCCCAGCTTCTCTTTCTGCACCTTCTGCGACTCCCATAACTCTTATTATTTGGCCTTTGAATAGTGTCTTTCAGTTCTTGAATACTTTTTTTTTTTTTTTTAGATTGACCTAGCTGTTTCCAGCCTTTTTGTTTATTTCCCCCTGGTGACAAAAAATATGTTCCAATTCTGAGATTCTTTCTTCTGCTTCATTCATTCTATTTTGGAGGCTCTGTATTGTACTTTTAATTTTCTCCACTATGTTCTTAATTTTTGATATATCAGCTTTCATTTGATTCACTTCCTGTGTGACATGTTCCTTAAATTTTCTTTTTTTTATTACTTTTTTTTAATTGTTATTAACATTGTATTATGTGATACAGTTTTATAGGCACTGGGATTCCCCCCACCCCTCCCACTACCCTCCCCCCATGGTGGATTCCTCCACCTTGTTGCATAACCACAGTTCAAGTTCAGTTGAGATTCCTTCATTGCAAGCATATACCTAGCATAAAGTCCAGCATCTTATTGTCCAGATAAGTTCAGTGGCCTCTTGGGGAGACCTTCTCTGGTCTGAAGGTAGAGCTAACAGAGTAAAGTTCCGGTCAGTTAAAAGCCCCAACAAAACATCAGCAACAATATACAATGTTATGGAATTAATTGACATAGTATTGAGTAAACAATATGTTAAAAATAATGCAAGTTCAATTCTTCAAAACACATGGGTTGAGACAGTATCAATGACAGGTTCAAAAACTAACAATCAAACAAACAAAAATTACAGGTTAAATCAAGGCAAACATGTGGTATTTAACCTTTTGGGATTCGCTCATTTCCCTTAGCATTATAGTTTCCAGTTGGGCCCATTTAGCCACAAAGAACTGCATTTTGTTTTTTTTAATAGCTGAGTAGTATTCCACGGAGTAGATGAACCAAAGCTTTCTTATCCAATCTCCTGCTGATGGGCATTTCGGTTGCTTCCATGTTTTTGCAATTACCGATTGTGCTGCTATGAACATAGGGATGTATGTTGGTTTGTCGTGAAACAGGTGTTTTGGATATATTCCTAGGAGCGCTATTGCTGGGTCATATGGTACGCAGATTTTGAGTTGTTTGAGTGTTCTCCAGACTGATCGTTAAATTTTCTTGAACTCCTATATTATGTGCTTCTCCTTGTTAAGAAGCTTTGTAACAAGTGTTTTGAATTCTGAATCTCCCATTTCTCAATGTCTTCCTCAGTTAACTCTGAGATTGGCACAGAGTTTTGCTCCTTTGCAGGGGAGTCTTCAATAACATTTATTGTGCCTTTGCGTCTTCTTCTGCTCTTGGTCATTGCACTTCTAGTTATCAGATTCTTCTCCTTGGGGCAGGTTTCTAAGCTCTGTCACCCACAGGTCTACAGTTTGATCTTATGTATTGCAGTTGGTACACTGCTTCTTGTTTGCCGTCACTTGTGTCACTCCCTCCAGCGAGTTCCAGGTCTGGGTTCTTATGTTAGACTCCCACAATGGTCTCCATAGGACCAGCTGCTGGCCTACCTCTTCTCCACCTCCTGTGATATCGTACAGAGACTATACCGTTGTCTGTACAATCTTTTTCCTACTTTCAGTTGGAGCAGGTCCAAGGATTAGGGAGACACCAGGTGCCCTTTGTAGCCAGGAAGCTGTTGGCCGTCAGGTCGGAGGGCCACACAAACCTATTCTGACCTGTATGATGCCAAACTCGGTATTATTTTCCCTGTGGGACCAATGCAATGCACTAAGCTTAGTGAGTTCATGTCCAGTTCAGTGCATGCACATTTCACTGTTGTCCCTACAGTCTTCAAACCTTTGCAACCCTGTGCAAAATGGTGTCTGATGTGCCCCACTAGTGTTTTTGATCTGCTGGCCATCAGGTCTGAGGATTAACCTGACCCATCTTGGGTGGAGCCTGTAGAATGCTATGTTGCTGCAGTTCACTGAGCCAGCAATGAGTTCACTCCCAGCTCAGTGCATGTGCAGTCTTGTCCCATAGCCTTTGCCTTCCTACACAAAATGGTGCCCGAGTCGGCTCTAGGGGGCGAACCACGCTGTATAACCCACCCTGTTCCTGCACTGCCTGTCTGGGATTCGCTGCTCTTTCTCTGCTGCTGGTCAAATCAGACAGACCAGCAGAACAGGCAGTTCTTTGTCTAGGTTCACCTCCTGAGCTCTGGGTGAATGTCCCTTTCCACATTTTGCTGGTAGAGTTCCAGCTGCTGGTGCAGTTCAGATTGCCACTCACTGAATGCCACTGAGGTATCGGTCACTGCAACTCCACACTGTTAAGTCCACTGCTTTCCTGTGTCTGTCAGTCTCCAGGTGCCC